AAAAACTTTACTTATAGCAGTATTAGATCTTATTTGAATATTATTTCTTTGTTATATAAGTCGAACAATTTAACCGATCCTATTCAGAGCTGGACTGTTCAACATTTATTGACTGGAGTCAAGCGAGAACTAGGGGCAGGTCAAAACTGTAAAACACCTGTCACGCCTACTTTGCTTCTTAAAATCCACGCGGCTTTGGATTTACAAAACTATAACAACAAAATTTTTTGGGCTGATTGTTTGCTTGGTTTTTTTGGCTTCCTTAGACCGATTAATTTTTTTATTAAGGACCATTTTGATCCGGCTGTTGATATACAACGACGCGATGTCCAGTTTACAAATGAAGGTTTAATTGTTCGACTTAAAGTCACTAAAACGATTCAGTTTCGCACTAAGGATATCTTTGTATTATTGCCTCATTTGCAAAATCACCCGCTTTGCCCAGTAACTGCGCTTCATAATATCTTATGCCTTCCAGGTACTCCGCTTTCCCCGCTCTTTTTGTTGCAAAATGGCTCTTTCCTGGGTTACAATACTTTTTTGCGATCTTTTCAGTATATTTTGCATGTCATTGGGTTAAACTATAAACTCTATGGCGGACACTCCTTTCGCCGTGGTGCCGCCTCTTGGGCATCCTCTGTCGGTTTAAGCGATAGCAATATCAAACTCCTGGGTTATTGGTCCAGCGAGTGCTTCCAGCGTTATGTGCATTCCGATCTACATCTTCGCCAGCAGGCTATGCATAATTTTTCATGCTTAATCCCTAAAACACTTTAAACAATAGACACAACGTCATTTTTTATACAAGTACGTGTGGGTTTGGGATTTTATGTTGTAAAAATGTTTCGATATTTGTTTTTATATGTATTGTATGTAATTTTCATTCATTGTTCAATTACTTGTTTTTATTGCATTGGATTATTACTTGAAAATGTAATAAATGTTTAGCCACTTCCATATTTTATTTCAATCCTATTGTGCAGCTATTGCAACTTATTGAACGAAGGACAAAGGGTTAAAATCTACGACTAACGTCATTCACTGCAGGCATAGGCCTACATATAATTAGCCTATTGTAGGCCTAAAAGAACATTGGGTCCAAAGGCTCGTATTGAAGTAGGCAGGTATCTAGATATGTAGGCTATAGTCCTAGTTTATATCCATTCAAGGTTAATCGATGAATACATGTTCGAGAGAAAAAAGTTTCAAAATGACTGATTCGTTTTTTAGAGGGATAGATTTGGAAGAACTTTTCCGGGAAGAAATGATCGACACTGAGGTGGAGAAGCACTGTTCTAGATATGATGAGACTAATAAGTCTTTGATGTTATACAGAACATCTGGGAATCGATAAACAAAGCCGTGGACAAAACAGGCGTTACAGGTAGGCCTACTTCTACAATGAAAAAACACCTTGAAGAAAACTTGCGCTCTTTTAACTAAATCGGTTTCGTATTCTTTTGACATTAATTTTCACGATATCGTCCACGTTGCCTATGACTACGTATCGCTCATGGTGGCCAAACGTTGCGTAGGCGGCCTATACGTGGGACTTATTCAAAGTGTTTTTGTTTAGGAACGGTCATTTTTTGTCATGTTTATTGATGTTATAATTGTAACCAGTAGCCTAAGGGGTCTCTGGAGAATTAAACTACACTTATTCTATAATCTCGACGTGTTTGGGATCATTAAGATTGTTAACAGTGAGAACAATACTTACCTCTTATATCCATACTTTTTCTCGATCCTTTAGAGTAAATTGTCCGATATTTCAATTCATACAAACATTAAGTTGCCAGATTGCGATTCGTTAACCATTGTGGTCGTGAATTACAATAAAGACCTTACCTAAACTCAATCTTCTGTTTGCTTCAATCCACTTTCTCCAGATAATTGCCCAAAAAATTCAATATATTCCCCACGATAATCCTTGCAAATAGGCACATTATTATGCTCATCAACTGCGATAGATACAATGTGTATATTCGTGTAGAAACAAGCAGCAAAAAAAAACTTATCCGGTTTTCCATTTCTGGTATATTGTTTTCTTGCTCTGATGTAGGCTAAGCAATATATATATGCTTCTTGACCCCTGATGTGGATATTAATTCAAAAGGTATATTTGGAATACGCATGTAGAACACAGTAGATAAAATTATATATTCTTCTAGGATCGAGTTTTAGATTGTTGGCAAAAGATTCCTTCCTCGTTTTTTACATATTTTAAATAGGTTAATGGTCCCCAAGCAGTCCAATAAGTTCAATAATGATCGTAACACAAGGACTAAGTTACGTCATTATCGAACGCATCGGACTGCTTGAGTACAATTGACCTTTACTTAAAATACAGATTACACAAACAATAACATCTACTCATGCACGTGCAATATTACTGTGCCTTAATATGTTTGAAGAAGACATTTCCGATCGATGTCTTCTGCCACATATTACATATTGTCTTACATAGAAGGACTACTTTCTGACGACAGTAAGCACAAAATTAATTTATTTTCTCCGATATTGACAATTAGTCATCTATTTGGATTATTAACTTCCACATGCCTCCATCAGTAAAAAGTCTACTCTTATCACCAAATCACCTCCTGGGACGATTAGTATGATTAGCTTAATCAGTGTAGGTAAACATTCTAACCAATGTATCTATTAACCTAAATTTTATAGCCCACAATTTGCACAAAATAGCTAATCTATCAATTCGAGTCGGTCTACTAAAACGCCTAACTATAATCCCATGATGAGCCGGCTAATTAGAGACCAGCTCATAATAAGATTCACAATTGGATTCAATGACACTAATTAAGTGGCAATTAGGCTGCATTGTTTAAATCATTTATAACCATAGCAAAATAGTTAAAACACAACAAGCGTACAAGATCAACTTTACTGCTGGTGTGCTATATTATCCAACAACACCATACCAAAAAAAAAAAAAAAAACTACGACAGGCTGTCACGATGGGAGCTATTTACAAATATAAGAAGATTTTTTTGTTTTTCCTGGCTTTTGCCTGTATAATGATGACAGTACTAACAGGTTAGTTGTATTTTATAAATTAATATTATGTCTGCAGGTATAAATGATAATTGAGACAATTTTTAAATAGATAAGATAAGATAAATCTTTATTACCCTTTCGGGAATTCTTGAGTAAGTGTACAATTATTGAAAAAAATAATAATATAGTTGACAAAGGACATTTTTATTACATTAATCCTTGAGGTAGAAAATAGTTTTATGAGAAGAATGTATGGACATCTAAAAACTGTCTTTACCTCGTTGCTCTATAGTAGGTAAAAATTTCATGGGTGTAATAAACATAGGAATTTAGTCACTTCTCTCAATGTTGAATGATATATTAATTATTATTATACACATTCCGAAGTGAAGTTTAAATTATCTTCGATGTCAATACGAATAGATTTACATGCTTTTCATTTAGATATTTTTTGCAAAACCATTTTATTTTATTCATGGTATAATTGATGCCATATCGGCACAAATATTTAATGCCATACCAATTGTGCTTTTCAGGCCAATGGTTTATTTTTTCAAAAGTACCTATTAATAAGGTAAGTATCATGATAAAATTATAACATTTGCATATAATTACCTATAATATACATAATATTATGATGTAATTAAAGTTACATTAACATTATAGTGATGTCAGTACAACTCCAATAATCCACTCTTTTTCATTTTACAAACCTTGTGTTATGAATTAATTATTCAAGTCGAATTAAGTGAGTTGTTCGTTATCCATGTCAAAAGTCGAATCTAGTGATTTGTTTGTTATTAAAGACGAATCTAGTGATTTGTTTGTTATTAAAGACGAATCTAGTGATTTGTTCGTTATTAAAGACGAATCTAGTTATTTTTTTCAAGTCGAATCTAAAGAGTTGTTCGTTTTTCTAGTCGATTCTAGTAATTTGTTCGTTTTTCTAGTCGATTCTAGTAATTTGTTCGTTTTTCTAGTCGATTCTAGTAATTTGTTCGTTTTTCTAGTCGATTCTAGTAATTTGTTCGTTTTTCTAGTCGATTCTAGTAATTTGTCCGTTTTTGAAGTCGAATATAAAAATCTGTTTTTACCGTCGAAACTAAAGAATTGTTCGTTTTTATGTCAAATCCAGTGATTTGTTCGTTTTTAAAGGCGAATCTCGTGATCAGTTTGTTTTTGAAGACGAATCTAGTGATCAGTTCCTTATTTTAAGTCAAATCTATTGATTTGTTGATTTTCAAGTCGAATCTAAAGAGTTGTTCGTTCAATATAGTTGTCTCTTAAACTAATATTTTGATTCTGATGTTTCAATCGCTGCAAATTTGCGCGTGATTGTGAAACCGAAACAAATATATCGATTAGAGATGTATAATAACGTTTTAGTTTTTGACTAGTCTGCAGGCGTAAACATAGGAAAAACGCAGACTTTGTTAAAGTCTACCAATCTGAATGAAATGTGGTTCTTTGTATAACTGCAAAAAACACGATAGATAGAAACCAGATTTGCATTTCAATCAGATAGATTTTTTTGCACAATACAACTTTAAACTGTAACAATATTATTCAATTCTATTTTAACATTTTAATAGTGTCCTTACAGTGTCCCAAAGAGATTCACTTCTACTTTCAGGGTTACAACGTATCCGAGCAAATGGAAATACGACGAGTGCTCTCTATAAATCAGTGCAAAGACTCAACAAACAAGACAGTCGTGGACATAGTCAGAAAAAAAAAAGATACACTTTTTGGATCCAAAAATTTTCTGTACTGTCCAATACCAAAGGTTGGGTCTACAACATGGAAACAAATACTCATTCTACTGAAAAATAAGTGTAAGAAATGTACCAATGTCAGAGATGTGAAACGTGTACACGATATATTAAACGACTACTGGGACTCTGACAAATTCAGAAACATGAAAAAAGTTTTAGATCGATCACAGAAAATGATAATTGTACGAGAGCCCTATTCCAGACTATTATCTGGGTATATCAATAAGGTTTTTATACCAGTTCGCTTGGTGTTTTGGGAAAATACATGGAAATACGTTGAAAGGAAAAGGCCAGTGTCACATAAAAAATGTGTTGATTTTACATTTCCTGAAATTGTTCGTTATGTGATAAAAGCCATTAAAACAAATACTATGTACAACGCCCATTTTGACACGATGAGTAATATATGTAAACCATGTGAGATTCGCTATGATTATATCCTGAAGATGGAGACATTTAATGTAGATACAATGTATATGCTGAAAAAACTCAATAGATCTGATGTGTACAATGACACTGATACACTAAAGCGTGACAGTATTGTTGATTCTATAACCTGGGACATTAACAACATGTTTAGAAAAGATACAGGCAAGTGTCAGTCAAAGCCTGAAAAAATTAGACGTCTTTGGCGCAGTTTTCAAATCAGTGGGTATATAGGAAAGAATGTGAAGCTCCCCTTGAGTAAAAAGGCCGAAAAAAATATTAGTAAACAGGAATTGCTTCAGATTGTGATTAATGCAACAAAAATAAAAAATGCTAATAACAAAGTGAACAAAAGACTAGCGTTAATTGAGGCTTACAGTCAAGTTCCCTATAGTGATCTAGTACAACTGAGTGAAATATTTCAACAAGACTGTGATATCTTTGGATATGATTGCAAACCTGATATTCTGTTTAACCGAACCAAATATCCCCCCTCTACCAATTTCTTGGATATATGGTCGACATAACTTTTCCAGCTTGAAAAAGACACTTTTACAATCTGACTGACATAATATTGTTGTTAACTGAATAATCATTTCGTTTTCTATTTATGTTTTCCGAATTATTTTTCAAGTTTCTTGTTATTATGTTTGAAAATTCAGTATAAAAATGCCTAGAACTGTGAACAGCTCTGAGATTTCATCATGAATTTTGGACCTTACATAGTGGCGTTTCTACGCTGAACTGAGGTGTCAAATTTCTTATAATTATAGCCTACACAGAGAAAGAAAAGCACGTCAGCCCGCTTGCCAATTGTGAAATGCATGATTAATAAGTTCTAAAACCGATATTTATGAGTAAATTATTTAAGTTACTATTCTGTGATTCCAAGCGCATATGATATGCTATTTCAAATTATGATGTAATTTTGCTAAAATCTGAGCACCAAAGACGTATCTTCGAATTCTTTAAGAATAATTTAGCCCGGTGTCATTTCCAACAAGCTGAGACAAGGGAGGTCCTCCACCAAGAGTTTTAAAGAATATTCACTTTCAGCTTGTCCACGAGCCCAAGAAAGTGCTTCGCGACGGGGCAAGCTAGGTCATCTATAATAACAATTTAAGATATCGATTATTTCTAGGTGCTATTTTTGAAGTATATAATTAAATAATTTAAGAGCTAAATAAACTATTCGATTTTATTAAGAGATATATATAATAGACGAACTATATATTATTACAATCAGAAGTAATATATAATAAACAGAACAGCAATGTAAGATGATAATAACAAAGACAAGATAATCAATATAAAAAAAAAAACCTGTGATATATTGAACTAAAAACAATTAATATAATGATTATAAACAGAATAACATGTTATGTCAATAACAGACGTCACATTATATAGAACATACAACTATATAAATAATGATTATAAACATAAGAACTGTATAATTTAATGTCTATAACAAGTATCCTAGAACTATATTACAATATATAATGATCATTAATGATCAGGAGAGAAATGGCGGTTGTTGCTAGCACAGCAGACCCGTTATCCATGAACTCCCTACACCCGCACCCCCGGATATATTATTTGAATATCCCTCCTCCTGGATATATTATTTGAATTTCCCCCTTCCTGGATATATTATTTGAATATCCCCCTCCTGGATATATCATTTGAATTTCCCCCCTCCTGGATATATTATTTGAATATCCCCCCTCCTGGATATATTATTTGAATATCCCCCCTTCTGGATATATTATTTGAATTTCACCCCTCCTGGATATATTATTTGAATATCCCTCCTCCTGGATATATTATTTGAATTTCCCTCCTCCTGGATATATTATTTGAATATCCCCCCTCCTGGATATATTATTTGAATATCCCCCCTTCTGGATATATTATTTGAATTTCCCCCCTCCTGGATATATTATTTGAATATCCCCCCTCCTGGATATATTATTTGAATATTGTTTGAATTCATCAAAATCAAGTAACATGACAATCTGAACATAGTAACGGTAAATACGGCCTGCATTGTTAATAAGACCCGTTATTCGTGATACGATGCTTGGTACGTTGGATATCCTTTCTCGGTTTCGGTCATATTTCGGTCAGGGATAATAAAGTTGTCAATCATGTGTGAATGCATTATTTTGAATAAAAATGAAAACAACATAATAATAACAATAATGATTATAAAAAGAATATGTCATATAGAGAATAAAGAAAGGAACTATATATTAAAATGACTATCAATTTGTTCATAAGTTTGCAGGATATGGTTTTATGATGAAACAAAGAAATATCGTCGCTGACCTTAAAATATCAATGTCTCTTATATATTGAATTTTCTCTGTGGGCTTTCTGAAAAAAACAAAATATACACCAAATATAAGTAGAGATTATGCATCATTATTAGAGGGTACTTTCGTTAAAGATGTCCGGATAAACAAAAAACGACTTGTTGACCTTTCTTGATTGGTCACTCATTGGAATTCTGCTGGTAATGTTCTTCTAATTTAGCTAGACTTTATGGACATTTGAGACAAACTGGTATTTTTCCAAGTCATTAGAACACCTCTACTTTCTATTCATACCTCAAACTTAGATACAAAGTCTGCAAATATACCAAATAAATCACCAGTATCCATTTTCTTAGGATCTTCACCAAAATACTGGACCAATTCTGAAAATTCTTCCATTGTACCATGTTGTAACCGAAATAATGATTGTAATTCATCAGAAGCCTCTGCTATAAAATGCTATTTAATTATTAAAGAAATTTTGAATAGACATAAATCAGTAAGTTGACAAGTTTTGAGATGAGTGAGTAAACAAATATTGAAATGAGTGGATGAGCATGAAATACGATGATTGACAACACATGAATAGAGATTAATGAGAACACGAATGGAGATGAATGGGAACAGGAATTGAGATACATGAGATTAATGAGTAAACGGGAGTTGAGATCAGTGAGTGAGCATGCATTGATGTGAGTGAATAAGAATTACAATAAGGGAGTAGGAGATGAATGAGCAGCAATTGAAATTAGAGAGTGAATAGACATTGAGATGAGTGCGTAAACAGGATGAGGTATTGAGATGAGAGAATTAATAGATATTGAGCAGGATGATGGATCAGGTATTTAGAAAATAATCCATTCTTGTCTTGAAATAAGTAAACCACTGAATCAGTGGACATAATATAAGACAAATTAATAAATTTGTTTGAAGGATACACCCATTACTTCTTGAAATCTATCTGTGGTACCAATTGTTGTTTTATGTCCATTGAATTTCTCTAAAGTATCAGATATATCCTGCAATAAATAGATAAAACATGTATGTTATTTCTTACCTTCTCAGTAACATAATGTACATTATAACTTCACTTGCTTTCCAAATCCTAGACACAGGTACACTTTTATCAATCATACATAATCATACATGTGAAATCAGATCTGTATCATATTCATTTTGATACATTGAGTAAGAACATTTGATTGATATTATTATCAAATAACTCATTATAATCCTGATGACGGTGTGAGAACCACATTGAAACATTGGAAGCAATACATATTCTAGAAGTATCCAATTGTCTTCTTTATATAATTGTAAGATTGATGATCATAAATAATTACCTGAAGCACTTTCCTCAATTCATTTAATTCTTGATTCAGAAGTACATTTGACACTGAAAAAAAGAGTGTACATAATCAGCTCTGTGCCCTCCCACCCCAACTCCCAAACCCTTATGCCCAACCAATTGTGAGTAAGCATTTCTAGTCTCTTTAAGGCTCTACTAAATTTTCACATAAAAAAAAAATATTTGTTCAAATTTGTTAATCGTTGTTGTGGGGCCCCTGACCTCTCTGGGCCCCTGGACTGTGTCCAACCCCTCAGTCTGCTCTATTACAATGTCAATAGAGTTAAGTAACAACTTATAGCAAATAATAAGGTCCAAAGGAATTGTATTTGAACTTACCCTTAGCGGCTTCAGAAACATGTGTTAGATCATCCCCAATACTTAATACATCTGGAAACCTTTTACTGACAGCTTCTGTTAGTACATGTAGAAATGTTGACTTGTTATCACTTGTCTTAGTTATATCAATCTACAAATAAACAAGTTATTAAATGTAGAAATGTCGACTTGTTATCACTTGTCTTAGTTATATCAATCCACAAATAAACAAGTTATTAAATGTAGAAATGTTGACTTGTTATCACTTGTCTTAGTTATATCAATCCACAAATATACAAGTTATTAAATGTAGAAATGTTGACTTGTTATCACTTGTCTTAGTTATATCAATCTACAAATAAACAAGTTATTAAATGTAGAAATGTCGACTTGTTATCACTTGTCTTAGTTATATCAATCCACAAATAAACAAGTTATTAAATGTAGAAATGTTGACTAGTTATCACTTGTCTTAGTTACATCAATCTACAAATATACAAGTTATTAAATGTAGAAATGTTGACTTGTTATCACTTGTCTCAGTTATATCAATCTAAAAATAAACAAGTTATTAAATGTAGAAATGTTGACTTATTATCACTTGTCTTAGTTATATCAATCTACAAATATACAAGTTATTAAATGTAGAAATGTTGACTTATTATCACTTGTCTTAGTTATATCAATCCACAAATAAACAAGTTATTAAATGTAGAAATGTTTACTTGTTATCACTTGTCTTAGTTATATCAATCTACAAATAAACAAGTTATTAAATGTAGAAATGTTGACTTATTATCACTTGTCTTAGTTATATCAATCTACAAACAAACAAGTTATTAAATGTAGAAATGTTGACTTATTATCACTTGTCTTAGTTATATCAATCTACAAATAAACAAGTTATTAAATATAGAAATGTTGACTTGTTGTCACTTGTCTTAATTATATCAATCTACAAATAAACAAGTTATTAAATGTAGAAATGTTGACCTGTTATCAGTTGTCTTAGTTATATCAATCTACAAATATACAAGTATTAAATGTAAAAATGTTGACTAGTTATCACTTGTCTTAGTTATATCAATCTACAAATAAACAAGTTATTAAATGTAGAAACGTTGACTTGTTATCACTTGTCTTAGTTATATCAATCTACAAATATACAAGTTATTAAATGTAGAAATGTTGACTTATTATCACTTGTCTTAGTTATATCAATCTACAAATATACAAGTTATTAAATGTAGAAACGTTGTCACATGTTTCTTGAAATATTAACTAAAGATTAATTAAAATTTGTAGATTTATTAAAACTTATAGATTTATTTAAACTTATAGAATTATTAAAACTTATAGATTTCTTAATACTTATAGATTTATTAAAACTTGTAGATATATTAAGAGTTGTAGATGTATGAAGACTTGTAGATTTATTTTATCTTGTAGATTTATTTTATCTTGTAGATTTATTAAAACTTGTAGATTTATTAAAACTTGTATATATATTAATACTTGTAGATTTATTAAAACTTGTAGATTTATTAATACTTGTAGATTTATCAAAACTTGTAGATTTATCAAAACTTGTAGATTTATTAATACTTGTAGATTTATCAAAGCTCATAGATTTATTTGAATTTTACAATAATAAAATATGATTGTAGATTTATATAACTGTAAATTGATTATAACTGTAGATTTATATAACTGTAGATTGATTATAACTGTCTGAGGTTAAAGATATGAATGATGTTGAAACTTTTCAGATTTTACCTTTTTATAATTTAAGTATATATATATATAGTTCTATATATTTACACATAGTAGAGTTAATGGTAATAAAATCTTTGACAAAATGAAAATAAATCTAACTCAATTAAATTACCTGTGATAAAAAGGTTATACGGAAGCCAGTGGCATCACCTACTCTTTCATTTCCTTTATTCATATGATTTCCCATGGCAAGAATTAACTACAAATAGATACATGAGTTAACTTCAAATAAATACAAATAATGACCAGCTCATAATTCTGTCACAAAATTTATAGAAGGATTTCATATACAAAAATAGTAGCACAATTTGATATCCTATTTTACCAATCAAACTTTTACTTCCAAAAATATCATAAGTCTATGCAATGTCTAAAATTTTCATCATACATACTAAACATGAAATATAATATCATCAAACTAAGAAACCTAGACTACATTACCTCTAATATTTTAGCTAACTTTTTACTATGTCTCAGCTCTCGCGATGCAGCTTTTATACAACGTAAATGCTGAAAAGAAACCACAAAATAATCTCACATAGTGGACTTGGTCACTTTTATTTTTAATTTAGCTTCTCTCAGAAATCTACATGAATTAAAATTTGAAAATCAAATTGTACTTACCTCCTTCATTTCTGTAATTTTCTCTTTAAAACTTGCTTTGAATAACATTGCTTTTAATCTTTGCTCATAATTTGGTATTTGACTGGTCTAAAAGATGATAAAAAGATTGATGATTTTAAAGTAAATGTAAGATATAAACTTAGTGCTGTAAAATTAATGTGTTTCCATAAATGTATCCATCACATCATTTTATTTACCTTAAAATTAGAGTCTGTAACACTATCAGTAACATTTGAAGGGAATGTAAAACAGTTTTCTCATATGATTTTGTATGTGTATCGGGGACATTGATAACATTGCTTTTAACCATTCCCATTTTCAGTCAGATGTCTGTTGTTCTTGCAATTTCACTAAATTAAGCTATCACAAGGCCCTTAGGTAGCTGTCATAAAATGCTTATTTTTAGTGGAATTGCATGAACCACAGACATCTGATTGAAGCGTGTATTCTGTGTCCCAGATGCATATAAAAAGTTGGGAAAAACTCTTAACAATCTCTTTAAAGAAATGAAAATAGAATATAATCTATATAGCAGTTTTAGTACCTCATAAGCAAATCTATCAGCATTACTAAAACTATCTACATCACCAGTAAAACTATCATATAGTTCTTGCTGAAAATAGAATAGAATTACTAAAAAAGTTTTGATTTACATCATTTATGTTCAGGAAAGTCACTACATCATGGGGTGAGGGAAATGTCTCATGTCGAATTCAAATTTAAATTCTAGAATATTTGCTATATTGCTTATTTGATTTCTACAGTAAAAGTGGTTTAACATTGACGACTAACAAAAGTGTTGCCATGAATAAATTAACTGACTTCAAACAAGTTTTTTGCCTCATTGAATAAAGACCTAGTTACATTCCTGATGTTTTATGGCCAATTTTTCTTACAAAACCATATTCATACATATTATACAGCTTTTGATATTTTTGAAACAAAATTCTTTCATTAACAATGTTGTTTATTTACCTCATGTTTACTGGGAGAATAATTCAGTAGTTGTTTTAATAGTTCAGGAGTTAATATATCTTCATCCATTGAATATATAGCATGTTTAATATCACTTATAGACATCTTCAAATGTCCCAATAATATAGCTGTAATAATTTAAATCACATCAATGTAAGTTCCAATTTTATACATCAGAACTGTCGGTCATATTTTCATTAAAAAAAGGGAAAGTAGGCCTACACATTAAAAAAAACCTTTTCTTACAGATACTTCAGTGGTTATCTAAAGATATCAGAAAAACCTCAAAAACTGCTTGATAGTGAAGATTAATGAGGGCAGATAACAACTTGCAACCATCATTCCCCCAAAGTATTGCCAATGATATTATTTGATTTACAAGAATTCTGTTGGACCTAGGTAAAGCGTTTTTAGAAAATACAATATCTTTAAAAATGAAAATAAAACAATTACTCACAAATATTATACGCTTTCTTCGGATTCAAAATAAATACCTCTTGTTTCTTATCAATAACAGCTTAAATTGAATAATAATAACAATTTAATATTAACAATTAATAGTACTACTAATAATTGAATAATAATAACAACACAACTGAATAAAAATAATAACAATTGAATATTACAAATGATAAAATTGAATAATAATAACAATAATAATAACAATTGAATACTAATAATAACAATTGAATATTACACATGATAAAATTGAATAATAATAACAATAATAATAACAATTGAATACTTATAATAAGAATTGAATAATAATAACTTTTGAATAAAAATAGTAATTGAATATTACTAATGATAAAATTGAATAATAATAATAACAAATGAATAATAATAACTATTGAATAATAATAATAATTGAATACTACTAATGATAAAATTGAATAATAATAATAAGAATTGAATAATAATAATAAGAATTGAATAATAATAATAATTCAATAATAATAATAATAATAATAATGATAACTATTTGAAATACCAACTTAATGATGAAAAATACAAAGTAAAGTAAATTTACCTGGTTTAGTAGTTTTGGTACTAAAATGTTGGTCCAATTCTAAATATTTGACAATATCTTCTAATTCACTATCATCTATCTAGAATTATAAATATACATGTATCTTTACTTTGTGATGTTAAAGGGTTGGTGATGAAGATTTTAAGTTTTTTTAATGATACAAAAATCTACATATTCTGTTATCTTGAGTTATTGATGATAAAATTGTACTTTAAAACTGACTGATTTAATACACACCATTATAGGATTTCTCACACCCCTTCTTACACCTCTATAAAGTAATGTTAATAACACCCTGGAAACAACTGTCTAAATGTTTTTCTTATATTATGAAGGCTGGAAAGTGCTTTAGTCCATCTCTATTAGCTGACAAATTTCAAAAGCCTATCCTTTTCAAAACTTATTGTTGATTAATCGACTTACTTGTTGCCAAACTGTATTATTGACCTTAGATGGATTGAGTTTTTCCCAATTAATTCTCTTGACATTCATCTGTTTATTATTATAAGATTGAAAGGATGGTGGTGGTGGGACTGAAAATTTGAAGAAGAAAAACAATTTAAAATCATTTGTTGCCCAAAAATCAAGAATTTAAACCTCATTCCAGAACTCCAGATATGTTAAATTTTGTACAGTCAAATTTGGAATCCCAAATTCAGTGTGATTCTTAAATCAACCAATATCAAAATCTATAGTTTCAAAAATTCATGAAATTTGCAAACATTCAAAAGCAATTATTGTAAAATAAATAAGCTGATGATGAATTACTTTCAACATAGAACATACTGTTTAAGAGAATAATATGATTAAAATGGTAACTATCTAGTCTAAGTCTATCTCTAAAAGTTTAATACTATAACTTACCAGGGGGAGGAGGGGGTGGGGCAGGTGTCAAAGAAGTCTGTACTCTTTGTTGAACAATTCCTTTAGAGATAATTCTGTTTTTCTCTGAATCTTGGTCTGATGTTTCTGCTGCCATGACAGCATCTAATTCTTCTAAAGCTGTTATTGCCGACTGATTGAAGGAATCACCTGGTCGGACATTGAACTTTTTAGTTTCATGTTCCACTTCATTATACACAATAGTATCTCGCTTTTTATAATGACTACTTGCAGGACTGACTTTCTGTGGTGTGAGTTTTCTTACTCTGTTTAACTCTGGTGAATCCATTTCTTTTTTATGAAATGGTCTTCCCTCTAGTCCAGGATAACCAACTGGTATAATAGTTACATAACGTTTAGAATCTCCATCTTCATGTTCAATATCATCTAATAATACAGATAGATTACTCTTAGTAAACAAACAATCATCAACCATAAGTGATTGAATTTGTCGAAATCATATGTCTCTCATTACATGGTACAAATATTTACTTCTCTGACTGATAAGGGCTTTTAAAATTAAAATCTGATGTGTCTTGCTCCTTCTATTCAGCAAAAACTTTCAGGAAACTATAAATATGCAGATATTTCAAACAACGAATAACATAAAATAGAAATTTTGAAGGATCTCTGGACTGTAGCTTACCACCATGATGACCTTGACCTTTACCAACAATAGCATCTTTAGCTTCTTGAATAGCTTTCCTGGTTTCCTCTAATTCTTTCACTAATGCTTTATCAGCTGATCTTAGATCTGATCTATTATGATTTCGAACCTTTAACCTTTCATGTGGTGATGATTCTGATGGGGTACTACTTCCTTTCTCATCTTCTGATGATGATCCTGACATCTAGAAGACAAATATATTTGTTTTTAACCAATTCAAACATGTACCATTCAAGTGAAGTAAAATGGAATTTTTAGACTTCAATTATCATTTGCTATTATTGTAGTATACCCCAGGGAGTATCTAGAAAATGTTTAAGGGTGTGGTAAAAAGTGAAGCTCTGAAGCGAGGCCCAAATATCTGAACAGATTGCAGATGAACTAAGATGAATTTTGAGCATTTTAAGGGCTAAAATGAAGTTAATGACAACATTCTTACCATTTCATTGCGTTCTTTTATAGTTTTAGTATTTCCTATGTAAAGAAAAAAAAATTACATCAAGACCAAACTTTATCTAATGAATCTCCAATTTACTTATATATTATTGCTAATGTTCCTCTTGATGTTCAGAACATACTCAAAGAACATCATCAAAAATAATCATATATTGGTAATTATTGTAATTATAATATATTCATTTGTATAGAAATCTTCACAGAGATCACTTTCCTGATTAGAAACTGGCTACTTTATGCTTGAGTAATTAACTAATTAATCAACAAACTTGACCTTACATCTATATCTAGATTTATTACACCATTTTACAAAAATGTCAAATATGTTGGGAGATCCAATGCAGATCCAAGTTATGTTCTCCGATGTAATTTCTGTGAAAATATTCATACTAGTGCTTTATCAAACAATCCAGCTTGAAAAAACCATCAATGGTTCCCAAATCAGTTTTTTTAGAAAAATGAAAGAAAACAATGTACCTATAACAAATGCAGATTTGAAAATTAAACGAAAGCCATGTCTTCAAATAAAATGGTGGTGAACTCCAGGAAATATACCAACACCAATACTTGTGAAGTAGTGACATGCTTGAAGAATATTGAAGACTTTTTATTAGGTGAATAAAGAAAATATATCATAAGACAACATAAATATGAAATAAAAACCCTGTTACCAAATGTAAAGCCATGGATAAGTTGAGGTTCATCTTCAGATCCTATATAAGAATCACTAGGTAGTGGTGAAACAGATCGGGACACTAGGTAAATGGAAAGTTAAATGAAAAATAATGATCAATGTACCACTTTAAGTTATATGGACTTTCCCAAATGCCAAGTGTGCATTTAATGATTTAATGACTTGTTCTATGGAAATCCTAACCAATACTGCCATTTTGTAAAGAAGGGTAAATTTTGTTATCTTAATTATTTTCATAATAATATAGTAATCTTCAATCATAATATGTACTAACCTTTGATTTTTCAAAGAATTACAAAATTTAAGACTAAGCAAATCTCATAAAAAAAACTTCTTTAAGTTTGATAGATTATTTGATAATGGCACATGGAAAAAATGAACCGTGAATAACTTTGTAAAGAAGTCATCTTATTGCCATGACCCATCAGTGAAAAGTTCTCGACTCACTAGAATATTTCTGTAGTTGTAAGAGACGTTGTCTAACTACTATTTGATGATCTGTATGTATTAGGGGTAGTATATACTTCCATAAACTTCTTTTAGATGGTGTATCTAGAATCACTTCAATATCTTCTAACATATCATTAATATCTCTACAATATATCATAAATACATATATATTGCCTTCATAGATACATATAGTAACATCATAGATACATATAGTGCCATCATAGATACATATAGTAACATCACAGATATACATATAATGTGCCATCATACATATAGATCTTTCCTAGATACACATACAAAGCTGGAAATAGCCAAGACTTCCATTGGTTTGATTACAAAGAGTCGTAGACCAGAAGAAGACTAACATATTGATAATAAAGCAGCAAAGAAGGTTGAGATAGTTTCTATATAACTTAAATTAAATTTCTTGTCCATAGGGGAGAATCTTGACCTCAATAAGTACAGCGATTGATTCAAAGAGGAGTAAGAAGGAATATCTTACTTATTTTCATCATATCTCTGTAAGATTTCTTTAAGTTGTTGACGTTCTGTTGGTGTTAATAAGAATTCTAACTGTTGACGGAAAGTAGTAGGTAAATTATCAGGTATATATGATTGTTCATTATAATCATCTAAATAGATAGAGAGAAAAGATGAAACGTAAAGTATCTAGAGGATTATATCACTATAACAGGACCTTTATACCAGGTGGTCTTTGACAAACCTCACTTACTCATTTACAACCGAGGTCACTGGAATATTATGAAGAGCTTTTGTTGATGGCGAAAAAAGAAACTATAAAAAATTTGCAACTGCTTACTATTATAAGTTATTCTTGGACTAGTCAAAGGCTGCTCTTGTTGATATTTTTCAACGTTTACACACTCTGAAATATATGTTATATGTTACATTTTGGTTTTTTTACAACCTTTTACCAATCCTCACAGGATTTAGACTTTATTGTCTAAATGTCTATAAGTCAGTAGAGGGAGCTTATTTTGACAAAGTACTGGATATTTACAAACCCAAAGATTATCGACATTCTTCCATGCAAATACATGTTTACATACATTATGTAAAACATGTAATGTTTCGGCTTACAATTTACAATTTAGTATTTACAATTTACTATTTACAATTAACAATTTACTATTAACAATTTACTATTAACAATTTACTATTTACAATTTACTATTTATACTTTACAATTTACTATTAACAATTTACTATTTTCAATTTACTATTTACACTTTACTATTAATAATTTACTATTAACAATTTACCATTAAAATTTACTATTTACACTTTACTATTAACAATTTACTATTTACACTTTACTATTTACAATTTGCTATTAACAATTTACTATTTACAATTTACTATTAACAATTTACTATTTACAATTTACTATTCATACTTTACAATTTACTATTAACAATTTACTATTTTCTATTTACAATTTACCATTAAAATTTACTATTTACACTTTACACTTTACTATTTACAATTTACACTTTACTATTAACAATTTACTATTTCATCTGAATGTAACTCACCTAACAATATATCTTGTGGTAAACTGATACGATGTAAACAATATTCTTGATGTTCAATTGGTAACCTAGCTATAATAAACATCCATAATGTCTTTTTAGATGGACTGTCTAATATTTCAGCTAGTGAACTATGTAGATCTACCACATTACTGTAACATACAATAGAAACAATCTAATTATTCAAAAATACGGGATCAATACAGTAATTTTGACAACAAAGGCCAAAATTCAGATAGAACTTTAAGTTCGTGTGAACCAAAAGAACACTTTTCTTTCTTTTCTTCTATTGAAAATTTAATCCATTTTAGTGAGTTCCTTAACTTTGTATAGAAGCAACATTTAGCTCTTATCTATCGAATATTGTCTAGTTGAATTCTGAGCAGGGATCAGTTTCTTTACCTTGCTTAAATGTTGACATCATTGGATATCTAACACTCAATTCTTTTGTATACAGGCTGTGGCCATGTTTTAACTAATAACAAAGTTACATTAACTCTTATTAGTCATTTACAAATCCAATGTTTTTTTTATCCTGAATACATTACACAACATAATATAATGTATCTTATTTCAGTTTTATATAAAAAATATTACTTACTTTGAAATTTCATAATTCTCTATAGCTTTTCTGATTTGATGTTTTTCTCTTCCAGTTAATAAGAAGTCAGCCTGTAAAACAATTGCACAAGAAACTGAACTTGAAGCTGCATCTCCCATTCTGGGTGATTTTATGTAAGGAATTCTTGGATATTATCCTTTGTTAAACATTGCTCAACATAAATTCTGACAGTATTTGATCCTCTTGGGTTAAAACACAATTTGAAAAAGAATCTTGTCAGATTATGGATATCAATAGTAGTATATATTAAAAAACATGAAATGAAAGATTTTGATCTGCATTTCAATATGATTGGATGTTAGATCGCAAATCATACTAACCCTCTGTTGAAATGTTCTACCCTCTGTATCTGTTTGATGTTGATTAGTCAACCAATCTACAGAACCATGACTAGATACTGACGACTCACTTGAAACAGACGTCAAACTAACAGATGGTGCTTCAATACAGATAAATACACTTCAGTCAACAATTTTTTGAATATCAAAACTTTCACATATTGATAATTGTTTTGTTTTTCAAATTTTACAACATGAAATACTGGTTTCAGTAGAATTTTTAAATTGAAATTGCATATCTTCCATCCTCCAGAAACAAAAATGCTTTAAGAAAATTTTCAGCTCCAGTAACAGACAGCTTTTTCTATAAAACTTGCGAGATACAGCCATACAAATAGCTACTTTCTGTGGTTTTTAGAACAGGATCTACAGCAGTTAATCCGATAAAATGTTGTCTTTTAATGATTTATAGATTAGTTGAAATTTAGCTGAAGAATAAGTATTTTAACAAAATGATGTTTTCAGGTAAAAAGTACTGAAGAAAATAGATATTATACTCACACAAACCATTTTCACATCTTAATATTTCTATAGTAGGTGCTGAACCACTCTCTTGTAATAACTGACATAATCTTGAATGACTACATTTTCTGTTAGAACAAATGATGATATTTAAAACACTATACTTCAAAGATTCATGTTTGAGAGGCTTACAGTAGATTATTTGTAAGAATTTTTTTTTTGTTGAGATGAAAATTACAACCCTGTATGTTGCAGGCTTTGCATGTGAACATGTTGGCATCACCATCCAGGCCTTTGCAACGCTTTCACTGTGATCTGTATCCATGTAAGGCTCAGAAAAGAAGATCATAAGATCTGCCCTGCTGAACATGTGCAGTTGATAGAGTTATTAGTTTCTTTAATGGCCTACCTGACATCTAGACCATTCAGCTTCATGATAAAATCATCTGTTCTTATACCAGCTTTCTCTGATGGTCCACCTTCATCTACTGATTCAACATAGGCTGGGTTACTTCCCTTTATAACTAATCCAAAACTTCCATCATCACGTATGACTTGAATAATCCTGTATAATATATATATTAGTAATCAAACAAAAGTACATGGTGCTCAGTTAAACTTTGTGCCACAAGCAACTGTGATTTTTGGGAGTACAAGCAACCAGTAGCATCAGAGGGAACCTGATTAATCCCTTAATGGAGTCTTTCAGAGCACATCAACTAATGTTCTACTTTCAAGAAAGACTGGATCTTCTTATTGATTATCCACTTAATGGCAATAGTAAACACTCTATATAAATCAGTTATGTTTATGGGCCAACTATGTACATTGTCAGTTGGCTTTCCAAATATGGTCACAAATTTGAACTTTAATTTGAATTCTTGAATAAAGAGATGTACATACTTTCTATGTCCTGTTTTATGAGCTGAAGGTGGATGTGGAGACTGTACAACACTCAATCTATCACTACCTACTGGTGACGTATAGCGTAATTTAATTTCTGCATCAAACTTTGGTCGATGTCCAGGAGGTACAAAAGGCCTAAAATATAGCATCTAAAGGTAAAAATCACGCACATTTACGTGTTTAAACAAATTTGACTTGAGAACGTCTTTTTTTTTCATAGACGTATAATATGTGTAGAGTCAAAAAAAAAACAGTTATCCTCAATATTTTGGGGGAATCCTAAAACTTGTGGTAAACAGTCTTTCATATTTCTTTGTAAACATCAATGCTAAATTTACCCGAGCAGCCAGTAAACTGGCCATTACCAAGTGACTTTAATGTCATACGCTTTAATTTATATTATTTTGACCTAAGAGTGCTAATTTCCACAGCCTAATAGGAACACTACTTTTTCAGATACTTCAAGAAAAAAGCCTTGTTAGCCCACATTAGAGTTTTCAAGAGTTTACCTGGCATTGATTATCAACTTTTCCACAACAATGGATAAAAACCTGATGAATATAATCCCAAACAGAATTCAATTAAACTGATATTACCTGATCTGTTTAAGTATTCGACGATGTTGGGGTGTTTTTAATACAGCATTCAAAGCTCTACCTAAAATATGTACATCTCTATCTTCAGCATACTGTTTTAATATACCAACTATAGCCATTTTCTTTTCATATTCATCACCAAGAACATAGTTCATCTTCAAATACAAGCAATTATTTTAGGAATCATTGTAATCAAACATATGGAACACAAATTAATCTAAAGTTCTATACAGGGTAATGTATGGTCCTCTCACATCAGTTGCAGAGCCAAAGGGGGGGCTTAGGGGGCAGTTTTTAATATCTTACATCAAGCTTAAAGCTAAGATTCCATATAAGCGTCATGCGGATGCGTCATGCGGACATAAATGGCCTTTGCGGATCCGTCATGCGTCAAATATGATTCCATATGTGCGTTAAACGTATGCGTTATCTTTCTTTTGACGCACGGACTTCTAGACAGATGGATGCTTTGTTGCATAAAACAGACAGGAAATCCCCACAAAATATGTCATATTTGGGAAATCTCCGGATGCGTCAAAAATCGCTCCATCCGGCGATTTCTATTTTAACGCATGACGGAGGCCATTTGACGGATACCGCTTCTGTATATATGGAATCATAGCCTCTTAAACCAACCATTTCGATTTTTAGCACATGACGGATGATGCATGACGGATCCGCATGACACGTATATGGAATCTTAGCTTTACCTACAATATAATTGAACAACCTTATTGGTTAAAGTTTATGCAACATCCCGATGTGTTTCTATTGTCTAAGACACGTATATGGAATCTTAGCTTAACAAAGTTTACAAAATTTAATTAATTTTTCAGATATAGAGATAATTTTGCTCTGTTGGTTTGAATGGGATTGATAGAATCAATGGACAAAGAAGATACATTGGAGTGTAAATACATGGTCACTTAATGAAAGTGGCCACTTATCAGTCGTTAATTGAGAGTGATTGCTTTATAAAGGTGGTCACATAAACTGTATTCACTGTTTATGACAATAATACTAACATTATGTACAGTGATAAGTAATTTTGGTTTCTAACTTGACACTAATAGTATAATTATTAATAGCTTATTACATCAGCTGTCTGTGACAAAATCTAACACCAAATGGTGTGAAAATTAGTCTTGTAGAAAACTATATAACCTAGAAAATGTTATCAAAGCTGTAAATAAATCAATATTGATTATATATATATAACATAAGAGAGAATAATTTATAGTTATATATAGATATAACCATCTGTTACCAACTACATACACTAGAATTATAATATTTATATATCTTATTATATTGATTGTATCTTTTATTCTCACTAATCTTTTTGTTATTTATCATTACAAATGTATCTTACTTCTAATAAACAAAATGATTAAAGAGGCAGTATGCAAAATTTTCTTCATCACAAACTTTATAACTTACATGCTATTTAACTCTAGGTATCTCCTTGATGAACTTTCATTTTAGAGGGTATATCAAAAAACAGAATGTAGGCTTACTAATTATTAAGTAAGCAGTTTAAACTAGTTTTGGCCTTATTACAGTTTTAAGATATTTTGGCGTTCATTTTGCTAAATCTGTACAATAGTTTCCCCAACACCAACCCAAAAATGTAGGGGTCATCCTCAGAAGAAGTATACCTTTAAATAGATTTGACATTCTTTAGTTAAAACTTTCAGATTATGTAAGGGACACATTTCTCTAGATTCTCTGGGTCTATAGTTACATTATTTGATAACTTTTTAAACTTCTTAAGACTGTCCATTTATAAATTATCTCCAATGGCAATAGCATAGTATTCTAGTTGAGTTTTTAATGTCCAGTATATTATTTGATTAAGGGGATAGAATGCATCAACTACAAATTTTTTAAAAATTATATATAAATGTATCTGGTACATAGATTTTATAAATTTTGTTGACATTGTAATATCATCATTGGTGATCCAATTAAGTTAAGCAAAAGGAGTAGGGATAAGCCTTGCTTTAAAACTATTTTTGCTTATGATCCTTTTTTGTTTCAAATTCAATTCAAAGATTTAAGTTTCAAATCAAGGGCAATAACTCAGCATGCTTAAATCGACAGACTACCTACCTTATCATGAAGTTCTTTAGCCCTATGATCCTGTCGTCTCAATGGACTGGTTTTATTCATCTTTTTATCTATTTCTACCATGTTACTACTGCGACCCACTGGTATGGTGAGCAATGTTAACTGTCCAGGTTTTGATGTTATTGTATCCTCTATATCTTCTATATTATTAGTATTTTGACCATTTATAGCTAGTATAATATCACCTACAATTGTACATGATGTTAATGTTAATTTAGATTTTAGGTCTAGACTACACCATTTTTGCTTGGGAATGCCTCCACCCAAAAACAAAAATCTAAAAGGGTGCTTCATGTTGTAAGGAATTGATAGTTTCAGTATGCATTTATCTTTGATCCATGAGCGTTTAACACTATCAAACTCTACAAGCCTACAGAGCACCAATAACGGGTCTTTTCAAATTAAAAGGACAAACCTGAACGTAGCCCTGCCATGTACGATGGTCCACCAAAATCAACTGTAGAAACCACAAGAGGTCGAGCATTTTGAAAAGTAAACCCATATCCTATCAATCTATTGGGTAAAATGTTAATTTCTTGCAAACAAGCTACAACTTCTACGGCTGGATACTGATTTCTAGATCTTTTTGCTAAACTCTTAATCTGTTCACTAGGTAAACTTGAGACATCAACACCTTCTAACTCTAATAGTTGATCACCAGGCATCAACCCAGCTATACTAGCAACACTGTTAGGTTCTACTGCTACCACATAGCTAGGACCAACTCCATAGATCTCGAAGCCACAAGTTCGTGGCCAATTTAATCCTTTATTTAGAGGCATTTTGGAAAATTTTTTTTTTTTTTCAATCCTGCATCAAAGTATTGTTTAATTCTTTAAGATTTTCTAATTAGAATTTGTTCATTTAACATTTTACTCAACTTAGTAAACAACTATATTTACAATGAAGTCTTAATCCAAACACATTGCACAATTTTCAAACCAAACAGTAAGATCCAAATTTTCCCCTTTCCAACTTATTTCACAGTCAAAGTTGGTAAACAACTGGAGTTCAATGACTACTATCTAGCTGAAAGATAGATTAATAAATAATCACAATGCTAGCCTACTATTCTATATCAGTCTATTTGATTAACTTTATTTCATCTCACCACCTTAATTAATATTTAATCACTATAAACTAATTCAGTAGAAGAAACCAATGTACATTAATTATTCAGTGAATCACAAGACTCATTTCACACATTACAGTTAGTTTATATGGAAAACTTTTCTATGAGCCTACACATTTCATTGATCCTCTTTTTCTAGGTCACAGAAAACAAATCTAATTTGCATATACTTGATTAATACATACATAAATTAAATTGATGCTAATTAGGTCTAACTTATTGTGTTTGAATTATCATCCTAATATTCTTATATTTGACAGCCCTACCTTAAAAAGATTCATGACATTCTTCAACTTAGTCATAACCTTAGATTACATACTATATGGTTAAACAGCAGCAGATGTTACTATGTCAGCCATATGTGATCTTATCATTTATTTCATACATAGCTTATTATACTCAGTGGTAGAAAATTTTCTAAACATTGGATTGATTCAGTGCATTTTAGCACATAGTTTGGGTCAAAGTCGTATGGTATTTTTAAATTTGTCAAAATAAAAGAGGGGATAGAAATAGTTTATCATGGCTTAATCAAATTCCATTTGATCTTGGAAAATCAGTTTCTTTTCAATTTCAATACCTACAATTCCTATCCATCTGGGCAATTACCATCTTTTAAGTTGTCAAGCTATAACAAACTGCCTCTACTACCTTGACAGCAATAGTCACCTTTATTGTATCACAGAAGTTTGTAAATACAGCAATTTGATTGGATTTTACAGGACTTAATGTTGACGCACCAAGTTGCACAGTCAAAGTCTCATTATAGCCTAACATAGGGTTACATAAGGTGCATTTGGTGCACGCCTCCCATGGAGCTTCTTATCGGGTTTTCCCACAAGAAACTTTTGAAAAATATAATTGATTTTGTGCATTCTGACACATATTTTGGGTCTAAAGCGTATGCAAATGAAACATTTTTTGTATTTGTTATAAATTAGGTACATATTGAGGTATCGGTACAAACCACTTTTCCAGTGAAATAAATGACCTCCCTTTACTCGACTGGTGTCCCTTAATGCTACATTGTATATGCGCTCCTTGTTTTTCATCAGTGCAATAATATGAAAAAAATTGTTGGTGACACTCATGTCATTTTATATTGGTGATATAATATTATCAGAACATTTCGGATTATCAGAACAGTCAAAATAATAAAAAGAGTGTGTGCAAACAGTACAGCTAATCAAGGTAGGAAATTTGAAGTCATGAAAATAATGAAACACACCATAAAATAACAATGATGTCTTTCTAATGTATATTTTCTTAAAAAGAGTTCCACTACATGCAGTATGGTGCATTTAAGTCTGAGGAATAAAGAATACCTTGGACTATTGTAGTCACGTGATCTAAAATGGCGGTGTAAACAAACTTACTACAAGTTACAAATTGCAAATGATTTTTTATGAACAGATTCTGTCTATCAAAGCTAGATTTATTGTTAGTAGAACCATTATTTAGATTTGATTTTAAGGGATAGATGCGCTCTTTTTAGGGGATGATTTGAGTCTTGAATATATGTGAATAATCTTCAGAAGTACTAGATGAAGGCTACAAAAATCGTTAAATGATAGTGGTGTAACCTGTATTCGTGCATATTATTATAAGGATTCAACACCGAATTTCGTCAAAATTAAAAACACGCAATTTTTTATTTTATGTATCAAAAGTTTTCTGAGATATTCTACAAAATAATTAAAATTGGTTTGTTTCGATTTTCTTTATGAATCCCTCACTTTGACCAATATTTCATGAGTAATAAATTTAACAACGCCTGCAAAATTCTTCACCTATTTTCGTGTACAATGTTTAATCCTTAAATAAGTCCAGAAAAACATGTTGTATGGATACCAGTGGTATAATTAACTTCTCTTGGTTTTTATCTTTAATAATAATATTACATTATTTGATGACAGATGACACTAGGAATTCGATTACAGGTTGGGATTATAAATTTGTAACTTTTGGTAATGACTGGTCTCGCGAGTTCGCACATATGTAAATTGTTAATTGTTTCCAAAGATGCATGAAAAAGAGGTAAGCTCGAAATTAGGTTAATTGACTGTAATTCCTTCAAAAATATCTCAAACTAGGAATTCTTTTCCTATTTCTGAGATGTCTTTTCTATACATGGCAGTGTCTAAAAAAAAAAAAAATGACTCGTCTTTTTAACTTAAATGTGGATATTTCTGGTCATACATGGATTTGAAGGTTCAAATTTGGAAAATGAGCTGTTAACACTATTGCTGATTGGCTAAGCTACAAAATTCCTGTTTCTGAGAAAAATATGGCGCACTTAACTCTCTTCAAAATAACTTTCGATACAATAGATACTATGCAGCACGGGCATGTAGTCCTACATTATTTACATTGCTGATAATAACTTGTAAGGTGCCTTTTAGTTTTACCACCTATTATTTCCCACTATTGTAGCAAAGTAAAAATTTTTTTGAAATTTTCAATTAAATGCTTCACAGATGAAAAAACAATGATGTAAGCTTACCGATGCTACAGGAATACCTTTTCGTTGCTTAAAATATAAATAGAACCACATTTCAACAATTTAATTCTAGTTTGACTTTTGAAGACAAAAATATCTGTCTAAACATCTTACAAAGTACTTCATTAACAGGGGTGGTTGGATTAAATGTGGTTATTAAAACAGCATATGTCCATATTTCAACACAACACCCCAATTGCAAAATGGCATTGACCAAAAACTAATAATAGACTCATAGGAAAATAGGTCACAGTGTAAGGGAAATTCCAAAAATGGTAAACAATCACAAACACAGACATTTTTGTCTACAAAAGTCAAACTAGAATTATTGATACAATACTTATTACACAAGTAAGCTTACAAATTGTACTGAAACAATTTTGATTTACCAACAGATTTGTCAAATTTAAAATTCCCCTCTGTAAATGACATAAAAGTTCTCAGTGAGTTTATTGTTGTTGGGGTTGATATTTGAAATTTTAATTCCTTTCAATCTTCAAATTATCCATTATCCACGTAAAAACTTAAGGGTGGGGAATGGTTAGATAGTTTTCAAAATGGGCAATTAATTGATTATTTCTACTTAAACAAACCATGCCACTAATCAATACTCGAATACTGGTACTCAATACAATATGTCTATAATACAATACAGACATTATTACTAATTAAGTTCTATAGGGCTGTCTAAATAGCCAATCACTAGACTGACCAATAATTTCAATATGTTATAATGATCACCGGTTGAAATCATTTCATAAACACATAATAAATCATTGTGTTTGTTCATATAAAGATATAACCTCCAATGTCTCTAAGATTTCTGACATTAACTCCCTGTGCTCGACTCATGTACTAGCTTTCATCAAATCTGCTTGTTTTAAATGTAGAAACATTTTCTTCCAGTTTTTATGGTGAAACATCTGTAGAATCAACAACATGGATTTCTTAGTGTTATTTATTGGTTACATCATGTCCTTTGTGATAGGCTCTATACTATATTATTTTAGAGATTCACAATTTTTGAACACAGGAGTATTTGGTATGATTAAACACAGTATTGGTCAGGTAGGCACAATGTACTAGCTAATTAGACTTGAAATCTCAAATTCATTGATTTTTATTATTTCTAATTTCATTATAGCTTTTGTCAATAACTAAAAAATCTAAAATTTTTATGTCAGGGAAACTGATAGCATCGATTTGCACCATTTTAATTTTCTTGCAATCACTTAAGAATAAGCATTGTATGATGTCATTATTTTCAAAGCTGCTAATAATATCTAAGAGAATTGCAATAGTAACGTCATAAAATGCTTAGTTTTAGTGGAATGGCAAGAACCAGAATGTTGTGATCATGATTGTTGATATTTGCTGAAAGTGATAACATTACTAACTTCTACAGTATCAGTACATGAATAATTGAAATAGATATTATATTTAGCTAGTAAAACAGATATAACAATAAGATATTTACATGTAAGTTTGTCATTTTCAGGCATATTATAATGTGGCCCCTACAACATTAGTAAGATGGTTAAATAAGATAGCTGACTCAGTTTTGGGTTCAAGGTAAGTCAAAAAGCTAAGTAAGATGTGACCAATGGCCTGTTGAAATCTTATTCCTAAAAACTGCCAATAGAAAGAAGTTTCTTTTAATGTAGAAAAATTTAATTCTATTACCAGTGCTATAAGAACTATGTGGAAATGTGTTGTAAGCGCTCAAGTCCATCCATTCACATTTTCTCGTAAATCATCTACCTTTTTTCCTTTCAATATTGAAATAAAATATCATCAAGGTGGTCATATATAGGTGTCATCCACTATTTTTTAAAACTTATTAACTCCTGTTTTGCTCAAGAAATGTCTATATCGTAGCAGTGCTAAGCCTTTAAGTCCAGTTCAAATAATTGCACATTTTTGCAACAAGAAATTAACAAGATAAAGAAACTAGATGTAATTTCCCATTTTACACGCCATGATTTTATGTAGAATAAGCTTATGTGTTGTATTTATCTTCTATTCCAGTAATCCTTTCATGCAGATAATGTTTTGTTTAATGGTATTATTAGGACATAGTATACTAGTTATGGATGTTTTACCATATCTATTTGTATATGAACCGAATAGTGACCATGTTACCATTCCAGCTATCTTATGTTTTACCAACTTTTTCTTCATGCATCTGAGTTGTACACCCGATTCAGGTGAAATTAACAGTAAAAATCAGAAATATTTTATGTCTCTGTATGAACCTGATGGTATATATTATTATGAAGATACTGTATGTAAAACATGTAACATAATTCGACCTCCTCGCTCCAAACATTGTAGTAAGTAATTTACTCAGTCCTCTCTTATCATTTCTGTAAAAATGGCTCTTTACCCGCTTTCTTTCAAAAACAAATGAAAATTTCACATATAACTAGTTTGTATTCTATCATGTACATTATGTACATAACAGGTAATGCATACAGTAACTTTTTCAAGGAATTATAGAGTAAGTGTCCACATTTTGGATTTTAAATTGATGAATATATTGTTGAACAAAGATTTTTGCACATACCCAGGGATGATTCAAAACATAAACATGTGCAAGTGAAAATGAAGAGAACATAATCTGGTTTATGCAGTTCACTAACTGTTATTCCATCTAAGATATATTGGACTGTTTGCAATCATCCTGGTTTGATCTCTATAATATTTCCAAATTTTTTCTTTTCAGGTACATGTAAGAAATGTGTTCATCGTTTTGACCATCATTGTGTATGGACTAATAATTGTGTGGCAGGTTTCAATCAACGCTGGTTTATACTATATCTGATATCAGTATGTATTATGTGTGGCAACGGTACCTATATGACTTATAAATGTTTGAAATTAATAGTTAGAAATAAGCGACTAATGGAAACAGCTTATGTGGATGAAAGTACTAACTCAATACAACCGATTTCTTATTATGTTTTAATACAGGTATGATATATTATTTATTGACTTACTACAAATAATGGCATGGCTTCTTTCTTTTTATTAGTTCGACTCAAACTCCTGATGCAAGATTGTCTTAACCTTTACATGTTTGATCTTAGTGCTTGAAAATATAGAATAATCTTCCACAGACCCTTGAAGTTCTGTCAATATTAATAAAATATGATGTGTTTTTCCACAACAAGACAAAAGTTGATTGATTTCCAATAAAAAGTACACCAGAGTCGTAAGTAAGCAGTCCTTTGTTCAAAATACTAAAAAAGGAAAAGAGAACTATATCAAGAACAGTTTAACAGCTTTGTTGACATTTTTATACGCCCACATCATATATATCGTATATTGTCGTCGCCCGTCTGTTGATCATTTATATTCATGAGATCTTGGACAAGTTCGAATTTGACGATATTTCGATGAACGGTTTTTGAGTTATTGCACTTGACTTATGAAAAACGCGTCAAAATTTTGTTGTGAACACTATAGAGACTACAGTTTTCATCCAATTTCAATGAAATATGGTGTGAATATTTATTATGATGAGATCTTGGAGTTCGAATTTGGCTATCTTTCGATGAATGGTTTGTGAGTTATTGCCCTTGATTTATGAAAAACGCATAAAAATTTGTTTGTGGACACAATAGATAGTACAGTTTTCATCCGATTTAAATGAAATTTGGTATGATCATTTATAATTATGAGATCTTAGTCAAGATTAAATTTGACATTTTTCGATCAATGGAATTTGAGTTATTGCCCATGACTTATTAAAAACGTATCAAAATTTGTTAGCGATAGAGGTGACAGATTATGTCAGAATTTTATTAAATAATGTGTGTTCGCATAAATCAACAATATCTTGATTTTTGGTATGATTTGACACAGAAAGGTGACTGCCCTTGATATACTGAAAATGTATCAGGAAAGTGGGCGTATCTTGCTAGACAACCACTTGTTATATACGTTGACACTATTTTCTACACATTGCCCACATTTTATTATTATTGACAGAACTTCAAGGGCCTGTAAATTTACTAAACACCTTAAATGTTAAGCTATAGATTTAGAAATTAGTTCCCAGTTATGTGGAAAGTTTTAGCTGAATTTGATGTAGATGACTATATATTTGTAAAATAAATGGTTTGTTGGATTTATAAAAGGAATCATGTGTTTCTCCTGTATGATACAACATTTAAGACATTGCCAGTCAAAAATACTTGATGGATGTTTTACCACTATTGAATAAAAATATCTACAATGTTATTTCATCTTTTGATCATTTTTGCTTTGTTCTCAGAAGTAGAGTAAATTCTTAATGTTTTGGCGAATAAATTTAAAAAATCAAACTGTTATTAAGTTAATTGAAAAACAAACCTTGATAAGACAGAGAGACATGATTTTATTCACATTATCCTTATTTTTAAGCTTTTGCATACCCCCTTTAATAAATAGCCCATAATTTTCACATTTCATTAAACTATTCTATTTTATTTATTTTTTTCAGCATTTATTTATGAACTATCCCCATACCATGTTTTTACTGTTTGCTCTACCATCAGTTATAATACTACTAGGCTCTCTAGCTTCCTACCATATATACCTAGTATGTACTAATCAAACCACTAATGAACGTTATAAACTCTATGATGTCCAACGGAGATATAAACATGAAGGTAAAAACGCGTCTACCATAACGGATCTACATTCATATCGTCCCTATGATAAAGGCTTTATAGAGAATGTTAAAGAGGTGATGTTTCCTAAGAAACAGTTAGATAAATTATTTCAGAAAAAAGAGTCCTGATTAGATTATTACAGAGATATTTAGTCTTGTCTAAAATATCTTAGTTACACACAGTTGTCGCTGGAAACTTGATATCAATACCAATTTATATATCTGAGAAAAGTAATTTACTTCATATTATCACAAATAATGCCAAATAATTTAGTCTCTATGTAAAGTCATATCTACAATAAATAAAATATCCTCACTGTTAAAATAGTACTCAATACAATTGTAGAGCGATATAGAAATATTATCTATGTTAGATATATCTAGCACAATCAATGAAACTGGTATGATGTTTATATACCATTTAGGGTTGGGTGATATACTGGTATCGTTATAATCAGTGGTTTGGGATTTTATATGGTTAGTAATATCGCCTCATTACATAATACTGCAATATTGTGTTTAAGTATTAGAATCTTGTCTATATATTTGGCTGTGTTGTAGAGGTGAAATTCTTCTAGACTTATTATGAGATCTAATATTGATGATATTAAGAGCTAGGTTTATGTAAATTGATGGCAGTGTAAATAGTTTTATAGAATGGTTGTGATCTAATAGTTTGATATTGTTGTGTATAAGATAATCTGTTAAAGTATTCCAAAGTTTGTATCCTTCAAGCCACAGTAGATATATTTTTTCTATACTATAATAATGTTATATATATGTGGTAATATGAACATAAACAAGAAATCTGGCCCTATCCGTTCGCTGTACATGATATACATATATCTAGTAATGTTTTGATGGATTCATTAGTGGTTCACCATTCAAATTTGGCTTTTGTCATGGAGAAAAAATTCTCAAAAACTAGCAATCCAAATATGGGTCAAAGCATCTCCCCTAAAAAGAGAAGTTTTATGTCTGGCTTTATACGTGCCAATATCCCATTTGTAAATCACTGTAACAGGTAGGGCCAGATTTGTCTGGCTAATAAATTTCATGAGTGTATATTGTTATAAAGATGGTTTATTATATTTATTATATTTTGAGGCAGAATAAATACAAACTAAAGTAAAGCAGACAGCCCTTATTTATGTTTTGAATCCTACCAGAATGTGTTTCACTATAACAGTATTGAGCTCTCCATTAACTTAATGTTATGTGTGTTTGTAGAAATGTATCTGATATGAGTGTAGAACAGCAGGGAAATAGATTTCATTCCAATCATAATTCCAATTTATTCCAATAATAGTTTTCTATACATGTATTTGTGTTTTTATATATTAGTGAATGGGTAATTTATTTGAGATGTATAAAAGTTTGATCTATTTAATCATGTTTTAAATGAATGAATTATTGTGATATATATATTTGTATGTTATTGTTATTTGTTGGTCTTGGCTAGATTGTCAGAAATATTTTACGTCTAAATACTATTTGTTGGACCAACTATTAGTGGTAATATTATAACAGTTTATGGGATCAAACTAGGCTTGAATTCGCATAGAAAAACGTTTTAAACCTAACTTGTTCTGGTCTTTCCACCGAATGAACCCTTTGAGGTAACCTTTTAACTTTGGAGTGATTTGTAACGTGGCAAAACTTTTATGAAAACGGGTTTAAAAAATTCAATGCTGTGTAGAAGTGAAGTTATAATGTTTCTGACCACAACAAGATCTAGTTTTGATAGAATGAAATAAAATATTTATTAAAATATATTTATTGTTATCTTTAGAAAGTAAATATATCTAGGCTAAAAAACCAATGTTACCAATACCCTTGTAACATTCCTTTCACCCTCTAAACAGTGGAGTCTTGACCATTGCAGTAGGCCTATCAGATAATTTAGAGTAACTTCTGTTTTCTTTTTAAATGGTTACAAAGTAGCTGAACAGACAGCAGTGGGAAAACTATCATTGCTTTCATGCAGCTGAAAATCACTATTTTCTAAATACTTTCTATTAATTAATTAATTAGATTGAAATATTTTGAACATGCTCAAGATAGGATTGGTTTTTAATGCATAGTCGTACTTTTACATACGTTTGATAAGTTAAAGGGAAGTTAGGCACAAATGTGGAGAACATTTAAAGAAGTTTACTGCATTTAAGTTGTTTGGAATTGTTAATATAAAAAAGAGTTGCTCCCCTTTGACCATAATTTTAAATAATGTCGCAAAAATCAGAAATGTTCAAAGCTTTGGAATCACTTAAAAGCGTCACTAAAGATGTTTCGAAATGGTATTTTGTCAGATACTTTTCGAATTAATCTTTTAGTCATAATTCAATAAAGAAGAAAAATAATTTCATTTCTATCGAATTTTTACGACTGCCATTAGAGAATCAATGCTTTTGATTGGTTGCTCTTTATTTAGTTTCTGCCTTTTGGACCAATCAACATCGATCATCAGGGCTATTTCCCCCTCCAGCTTCAAAATGGCTGTCAGTATAAATATAAACAGAGATGGGTGCACATCCGTACCAAAAACTGGAATATTTTTCAATAAAACACTACTTATTATCTATTACAAATTCACAACGTTCACTTGGGGCCTAATTAAATTGAACTGTCATTGCTGCATTTTCAAAAATTGTCGCCTGTTTGCTATAAACATTTTTTATGAACTTTTCATACTCACGTAACACTGTCACTGAATGAGACGAACGTGAGAGATAATCGCCAGGATGGGATGTAAACCAACTCTATAAACTTTTCATCAAAACGTCAGTTGCATTCATTTCAATAACACGTCCTTAAAAGAATTGACCTGAAGAACAAGGTTTTATTCAACATCAAGAGAAGAGGTCCCAAGATCTATGAGTACCAGGTAAGAGAGTTTTGGAAGCTACACTTGTCACTCTTTGCTCATTGTCTGCAAGTTAGGCTTTTTTTTACTTTCCAGTGTGTCTGGTGGTTGCTTTGATAATTATCTGTGCATTTTTGATAAGTGATATGTCATTGCTCATTGAAACAGGAGGCAATCTAGAGCAAATCTGACATGTAAATTTTCACTTTATTACGATAATTTATTGTTTTAGATACTTGCTCATTAACCAGAATGTCTCTTAGGGATTGTTCCACCTCATTTTTTATTAGAGGGACTGAAAATTTTTTGAGTAAATGTCAGGTAATTGGTTATCTATGGTTCAGATATTCTGCCTACCGGTTTGCTAATTCTTGATATGAAAAATTGTCATTGAAAATTAATGATTAATTAATTCTTGAATATAATTTTGTTTTCAGACTTGACAGATTGTTCCTGCTATTAGACAATGGTTCAACTCCATTGATTCGGAAGTCAGCAGCAGAACAATTAGGTGAAGTTCAAAAGCTTCATCCTTATGAACTTAATAACTTGTTATCAAAGGTAAATTTTCCATAAAATCATTCTTTGTGCTCACATAAAAAAAGCACAGGTACCTGTATAATGAATAAGCTTAACTTTACTCTGTTCATATTGTAAGACTGGAATTGTTGCATAGAAGATTAAGCAGTTATATGGCTTTTAAACACATCGAAAACAAACATATATATTTTTGAAGCCAGTGTTTGGACTGGTAGCATATTGATTTGGACTATGTGTCACATATTTTGTAGTAATTTTAATATTTTGTTAATATGATTTTAGATCCATGTGTACCTACGGAGTTCCAGTTGGGAAACTAGGATAGCAGCAGGTCAGGCTGTAGAAGCTATTGGTAAAAATGTACCACAGTGGGAGCCAAGAGGAGCTCCAAAGTCAGGTTAGTAAAATTTCAACGAATAAAACAAATTTGTTGTACAATATAGCTTTCCTCAAATGATAAATATGTTTTTTTATCTTTGAATACTTAAAGTGAGTTCAGAATTAATATTGTGTATTGTGTTTTTCTCATATTTACAACCTAGTGAAAACAGAAAAACTGAAAATATATTTACATTCAGTAAGCATTCAACCTTGCTGTTCTTGATAACCAATAATTTTGCATTGAATATGGAAATTCCCCAAAATCACTCAGGCTTTTGATTAGGATGCATGTCTGATACATTTAGTTTTAATCAGAAGAAAGAAAGAAAGTCAATTTGAGAATGTAATCAAGTGTAAAATACATAATACCATTAACATTGATACTGTACATTATATTTCAGAGGTGGGCAGTTCTGCTGTCCAAGATGCTGGAAAAATACTCTTTTCACAGTTTGACGTTAATAAAGTTTTGGCATTTGGTGCATCATTACTTGGATCTGAAGGTGTACAGTATGATTCAGTACAGAGTTTTATAGGTATGACATCTCTAATTTGGTATAGAGAAATTGAATGGTGCTATGAAATTTTCTGTAGGATTCCCCCTCAATTACACTAGAAAGTTTTTTTTATTGTAGTTTCGTTTTTTTAGGTTCCTGTTCCAAATTAGTTGACTCTCATGTATTCCTACCCTGATGCAGATTTTATTCTTTAAACTAAATTTGAGCTGGTCATTTTCACAAGATCAACTTTAATTAGTGTTGTTTTTCAGGTATAGATGATAAAGAACATCTAGCACAACAAAGACAGTTATTAAATAAAAGATTAGGATTAGATATAGCTGGTAATCTGGGATTAGATTCTAATAATTTATTTAATGATGAAGATTTACATATTGAACATTCTTCTAATGGTCAGACATCCGGTCAACCTATTTATAATCAGGTAAAGTCAGACATCCAGTCAGCCTATTTATCATCAGGTATAGTCGGAAATGAAAAAAAAAACTTATTTATAATCAGGTATAGTCAGACATCCAGTCAACCTATTTATAATCAGGAAAAGTCAGACATTCAGTCAGCCTATTTATCATCAGGTATAGTCAGACATTCAGTCAACCTATTTATAATCAGGTGTATTCAGACATCCAAAAAAAACTTATTTATAATCATGTATAGTCAGACATTCAGTCAAATTATTTATCATCAGGTATATTCAGACATCAAGTCAGCCTGTCTATAATCAGTCTATGACAGATATCCAAATAAAGTCTGATATTAAGTCATTCAACAAGTCTGATATTAAGTCTGTCAACAAATCTGATATTAAGTCAGTCAACAAGTTAGATATCAAATCAACCTATCATATTTTTTTTATAGCCTGTAGCTGATCTAGTCAAACAACAGTTAATGGATGTAACTAGAGGCTTAAGTGCCAGAGAGAAAAATAAAGCTAAAAGAAAAGCTAAACATTTGGCTAAACAAATATCAAAAGATGGGAATAGGTAAGAACAAAGACATATTGTAAGAAAATAAATTCTTTAATGACAAAGACATGTAATTGCTAGATTAGTCTAAGCAATAACATAGAATAAAAAAAAAACAAGTACTAACTATCCGAACCACAAAACAAAACTCAAAATCCAAAGTCACAGTAGAGCAAAACATTTGTTGCAGATATACTATTCATATAAGGAATAATATCAATTGTAAAAAAGAAATATTTCACTATGAAAAGTGGTTTGTTGTGTCTAGAAGAGTAAGCATACTGGTACCCTGCCTGGTGTCACACCTGTCATTGCTTCACACATCTTTTGTTATTCTATGAATTGTTCTAATTTTCTGCAGTGAATGTGTCAGTCAAGAGTTTGATCCACCTGCTAAGAAAACCAAACAAGAAGTATCTGAAGAAAATGGAAAGAATAATGTTGAAACTGATGATAATACTCTTAATCTAGATGAGGTCAGATACTTGATTGTTATATATTTTAGGGTAGGGAGGAGGGTTTGACATACAATCCTAGGATGGTTCTAATGCTTCATGACCCCACACATACAGGGCTAAATTGTTTAAATATTTTAGCCTCCTAAATCTTTTTCTTAAGCAGCAATTTTTAAGAGTTTGAAGCTTTAAAGGAGCATGTAGTTCTGATGTAAGTTTATAAAAAAAATTGTACTGCCTTTTGGTAAATTTTACTTTGACCTCAGAAACAATCAAACAATAACACTGTAAAGTGTGGTGTTTAAATGGAGTTTTGGTTGTTTATTTTCAGATGGAAGAATGGCCGTTTGAATCATTCTGTGAAGTGTTAATGAATGATTTATTTAATAGTTCCTGGGAAATCAGACATGGTGCTGCAACTGGTTTAAGAGAAATAATCAAACAACATGGACGTGGTGCTAGTAAATCATGTGATACACCAGCTGATCAGGTTTGGACAAGATTTGTTGTTTCTGTGTTAAGCCATTGGTTGAAGTTACATCCAAATCACATCCTGTTTTCTTAGCTGAAAGCTTATTTCAAAGAAATAGAATTTTGGGCCCTTCGTAAACTAAAAAACAAAGTCTGACACTATTTATATAACTCTTTGTTATCAGAAAGGGTTTTAAAAAAAAGCCATATTTTTTTGAAAGAAAGTTGGTTAAATTTTGATGAAATGTTTCAGATGGCAGCTGTCAATCAGATCTGGTTATCAGATTTAGCTTTACGGTTACTATGTGTTTTAGTACTGGATAGATTTGGTGACTTTGTATCAGATGAGGTAACTATGTTAAGTGTTAACTACAGACTTTGGAAATTCATATCTTACCGATTAACTCTTTTATTTTTTCTAAATATTTATGTATGTCTGTATATCCAGAACAAAGGGTTAAAACTGTGTGAACTCGTTTATATATCAAAATATCAAGATATCATTGCTAATAAGATCTTGTAAGATAGAGATAGTTTATGGTTTAGCTGATATATTTTACAAATCTACAAAACATTGCTCTAATAAATGGTTTTATATGTTCTAGGTGGTTGCTCCAGTAAGAGAAACATGTGCTCAAGATTTAGGTGTATTATTAAAGTTTTTAGATGTTGAAGGTGTTAATGGTGTCACTAGTGTATTATTACAATTATTATCACAACAACAATGGGAAGTTAGACATGGTGGTTTATTAGGTTTAAAATATCTTTTAGCTGTAAGAAAGGTATGTTCTACAACTTTTATTCAACAAAAACTTCAGTAGTCATGTACATCATTTGTTGTCAGTAATGTGCGACTTTGTGATTGAGACTAAAGTCTTTCAGCAATAAAGCTGGCTCTTATTTATTTTTTAGGATCTGCGAGATGTTTTATTACCAACTGTATTACCAGGAATATTCCAAGGTTTACAGGATTCTGATGATGATGTTCGAGCTGTAGCAGCTGCAGCACTAGTTCCTGTTAGTGATAAACTAGTTACACTATTACCTAATCAGGTGATTTATTCTTCATACTTTTTAATTGTGATAGCAATTCTGTCTTATCGTTTGCTGTCTTCAGAGCTCTGAAATGTAGTCTTAGATAAATGATGTTAACTGTTGGTGATTAAGCTACTATGGGATTGAGCTTCTTGAACTTCTAAGAGACTATTAAATAGCATATGAAATGAATTCAAATAAAAGTTTAAGCTCTGAGCTCTATATTTTCTTGTGGATGTATTGTCAAATGATGCTATTCTCATAAAGACACTTTGATATTATCTACATTATATTCTTTTACAATATATTTATATTATGGTGGGCATTTGATAGCTCAATCAGCATCCAGATGGATTGTCATCTGCATTACTATTGAGTTGAATTCTCCTGACAAAAAAACACTCTCTTGAGAGTAGACATTAAGACATTTCTCCACCCTATTATTTATATGTCGGATCAATTTGATTTCAGACACCTATTATTATCAATTGTTTATGGGAGACATTATTAGATTTAGATGATTTAACAGCTAGTACCAATAGTATCATGTCATTATTATCTAAATTATTATCAAATCCATCTTCAATGTCAACAACGTAAGTAGTTTAATTTCTTTATACTTCTAATTTTCAAACTGACTTTTTGTAATATGATATTGACCATTAAAGTATTTGACACCCTCTTTCCTCTGGTTAACTCTTCCCAATATGCAAACTTTCAATAAAAGAGGATGAAAAATGATAATGGATGAAAAACAACTGGTCCTTAGCCAAACTTCTTGGCATTGTTCTTTCACTACATTACTCATTCTCAATTGTATCTTGAGTCTTGAATAAACAGGATTCAGGGTCATCAGATATTCACACGCCAAAATTAGATATGATGTTAATTTTTTACCTGTGAAATTATACCCCTTTTGTTTATTGTTTACTTTAGACAGAATAGTTACAGTGATAAATATTATTCTATTTCAGTATGTCTCAGTCTTTAACTGAACTTACACCTCGATTGTGGCCATTTTTACGTCACAATATAACATCAGTACGTAAAGCAACATTAGAAACATTGTATACTTTACTCAATATATTTGATCCAGAGGTAAGATACTTTCAGCTTATCCTATAGCATTAATTATTTTCCAGTATATTTTGAGGGGTGTTCAAAGGTGGAAATTGGAAGAGAATTTGATTGCACTTGTAGAGTATATTGTGATTCAAAAGTTATCACAATAACATTAATGTTTGAATAACTTATATAATTTGTTGATAGTTTAAACCTTCTTTGAATGTGATTTTATCCAAAACTTTAACATATCCAAGCTTCAGTCATATTATATTTGATTATGAATTTTAATGAATGGTTGATTTTTCAGACTAAGAAATGTTTTTGGATAACCAGTATATTACCAGATACATTACGCCATATTTATCAACGAATTTTACTAGAAAATAATGGTATTCTAATAGAATTAACATATAAAGTCTGGACATTATTATTAGAAAGATCACCATTAGATTATTTAATAGCAGCTTCTATGCCATGGTTAGGAGTTTGGTTATGTCTTCTCATGCAACCATCTAGAACACCATTTGAACCTACATATCTTATAGAAGCTAAACATAAAGTTAGGGTGAGTTGTTATATCTTACTTTATATTTTATTCCTTCAACAATTATTGTTCGTGTAAAATTAGCTCTATCATTCATGGAATATTTGACAGACGTGTTCCTGTTCTTGTCTTTAAGTTATGATAAAGGCTTGATGGTAAAAGATTAGCTTGAGGTTATTTTCATCTTCAATAAGAATGCTTGATTAAGTAGTTATATGTATATGTAGCTTTGTAGCTGTAAATGAACAGTACTATTGCAATGCTCTAGTAGGTTTAATAGTATGTTTATCTTTTATCACTTTTTAGAATTAAAACCCGATTCTCCTATTTCTATTCTCTCATGGAAGTTTAAATTTTTGTCACATTCAGCCTGACATTAACTTTAAGTTTAATGAATGTTTTAGTTGAAATGTATATTTTCTCTATGTAGGACAGTATAAGTACAACTAAAAGAAGTAATATTATAGATAGTAGTGTGGATTGTAATAAAGATAATAGAGAATATATAGGAGGTATAGAATCTCTCAATAAATCATTACAAGATAGAGATTATTCTGTTACTAGAGCCCGAATATCTGGAGCCAGGTATGTTTAATTGTATTTAGTTGTATTATGTATAATCAGATATATTACCTAATGGTTATCATCAAAACCTTGTTGTTTTGCAAATGTATATTTATTAAATCATATTATTTTAACTCTTTTCTAGGAATTTCAAGACCCAGAGACATGACTGGAATTTCTGTATCTTACATAAAAAAAAGTTTAGAAACCTCTTGAAATCCCTTCAACCCTTTGAACACTGATGGTAAATGACATAGTATTTTAAACATGTATTTTAACATGTATTGATGTTATTTTAGGTTATTAGGAATGTTATCTGGTTATATAACACAATACGTATCCAACTACCCACCAGAAGCCGAGAAACCAGTTGATTCTTTAACTAAACTCTTTACATTTCATCTGAATACTAAATCAGCTTTACAAAGATATGTTATTGGTCAGGTTCTTTACTTTTGGTCACTGCTTAGTAAGGTACTTGTCATTAATAGTATATACGTATGCTCAGGATTTTATTAAGAAAAAATCATTGTCTTGTTACAGTTCCTTGAATGTTTTTTACTTACTTCGCTTAAATGCTTTATTTCAAAATAAGAAGACTTATTTCCAAAACTAGTTGTCATGATACTGTTGTCAATACATATCAGCAGCATGAGATGAGCTCTAGAAAATAAGATGTGAGTCAAAAACCTATGTGCTGTAGAAAATTTCATTGTTGAATTAGTTTACTATACATCCCCCTCATGTCCAGTGTTGAAAGGCCAGCATATGGTAGAGAATTTAGATAGTGTATAGAAGCTCAATTCTTCAATTGATTTACTTGTCATGTTCATTCATTAAAGAATGACTCAATGATATTATGGTGCTCAATTTCGTATATGAAAAATTACTTATTTTACAGGACTGTCTATGTAGTAGTGAAGTTAAAAGTAAATTGTTACAATGTCTTAATGAAGCAATATATTTTGATGAAATAGCTCTAGCATTTACTCGTATGCAATCTGATTGTCGTGACTTTATAGCTTCTATCAAACAGCAGGGTATTGAGATGGATTCATTATTTCCACCTACGTAAGTTGAATATATTATATGGTTCGATTGCATCAAAATTATTTCACAATATTTGGAATTAGTTTCAATGCTTAGTACACTACTGAATTGCACTCCTGAAGAACATATTGTAATGTAAATTCTTATATATCATAAGCTGTGTAAGAGGTTCAGATATATTTTGGTTCTGAGGCCATATTTTTGAAAACTTAACTTTATTGGTGTTCCAGTAGTCTGATTTTTTAATTACTAAAATCTACTGAATATTTCATTATTGGTATTCAGTCGGATTACTGTATTTCTTGAAATCTTCATTCCATTCTGTTTAAGTATCCAGAATATGGCCTCTGATATGTAAATCTCTGATTGTCAATTCAGTTATAGGAGGGTCCAAATATCTTATGTTATATTAGTGTTTGACCTCTGTCTTGTTTTGTAGGTCTATATTAAGTTTAGATCAAGCTAGTCAGCTAACCTCTACAGTATTTGATAATATTAAAGCTCAACTTAAACCACGTATGTTACAAACACTAGATGATAGAAGACAACAGCTACAGATCTCTGTTACACAAACAACAATAGAACAACAAACATATACTATCAGGTTTAACCTGTTTATGTCTTTCATTTCACTAGCTCATATTCGGCTAAAAGAAAAAATAAAAGATCAAAGAAATATTTATCAAGCTGCACATTAATTAATGATAACATATTTAGTGCATGAGAGACAAAAAGTGTGAATTTATTTAAATATGCAGAATATTATGGAATATAGTTAAACTGCACTTACTTGACTGTAATTACTTGAGTCACAGTAAATGACAATTATATATGACTCTTTAAAAGATTGCTGTATGATCACAATCTATATTAAGAGTTATAGTAACAAAAAACATAATTTTAGTTGATATATAAAACTCCATATTAAACAAACTAAAAAAATAAGACCTGGATTTTGAAAGTTAATTAAGAAAGCAAATCTAAGCAGGTCTAAGTATTATTTATATATGTATTTTATCATTATGTAGAGTACTGAATAGTTTGGCTATGGCTGCTGTGGTATTAAATGTTTATCCTGAGAAATTAAATCCTGTTATTAGACCATTGATGGATTGTATTAAGAAAGAAGACAATGAAACTATACAGGTAGAGTTTTCTTAGAATCTATGATTATTTCAAAGATATTTCTCAAAATTCCTAATTATAATTATATTCCTTATTATATAGCTTATTATAGTCCAATTAAGCATGTCCTTAAGACACAAGTGGCACATAATTAGCTGATCTAGAGTGGAAATTTTGTACAAATATTGCCTGAATAAAAAAAAAATCAGTACTAATAAACCAAACCTAAACATGAAATCCAAAATAAGAGTTTGACATTTCATTGGTAGCAGCTAATGCATCTAATGAATAATGAATAATGCCCTCTCCAATGCTGGGATTTTGCGAACAAAAGGTGTATTCTGAGAAACATTAGACACTGAATACACCTCTTGTTCGCATCACAAAATCCCAGCTTTGAAGAGGACAGAAATTTGATTAGCTAGCGGTGTCATCAAACTGACGAAAGTTCAAGAGGCCGGTCTTTAGACCCTTACTGAAGTGGCTAAATTAAAAATAAAAATTAATTAAAAAAATCGAAAGAAAATTTGTTCAATTTTGATAAGACTGAGTATTCCCTCTTATTTTGTTTCAAAGACTCTCCATTTTGTCTATGTTTTATTGTAGATTGAAGCATCTAAATGTTTAGCTAGATTGTTTGAATATGTATTAGATAAAACACCAAATCCAACCAGTAAAATAATCAAGAATTTAGCAACGTATGTTTGTTGTGAAACATCATCTACACCTTTAATAAACCAACCAGTTACAACTAAAACTGCTGGTATGTATTATCAATGATTGAATACTTGTAAATGTTATAATTTTACATCTGTATAAGAATCTGTCTTCCTATTTAGATTTGAATAAGGGCTCTTGGCGACACTTTGCAATTTATATGCAATGGTGAAATAACGGGCTCACTCAATTCGTGCATACTAAATATTTTGTTTACAAGCAGTTTGTACAGCAAAAGATCTGTAAGCTTTTGGTTATTGAAAAAAAGTTCCAGCATTGTACATCGCTTTGGTTCCAATTAACTATCTTCAATGTATTTCTATTGTAGATAGCCAGTCACATGAAGTGAGTTGTGATAATATAAATGGTATTATAACATTGTGTAACTTACAGAAGGTAAGAAAAATATTATACACATAGTTTCGAATAAAAGCTCAATTTCAAATTCTTTTAATTGTTCATTATGCATACATACTAGTATTTAAAAATGACCTTTTCCCCTCTAGTTATTTTTATAGACTGTATCTCTATGTGTTTATTAACTAGGTAAGTGAGAAAGGTAGAAAGTGGGTAAGAAGAAGTACTAGTGTTAAAGCTGAAATTGATAATTTACCAACAGATTTATTACATGATGATACTGAAGTAAGTCATACCTTTACTTTTAACCTTGTAAACTAAGCTGTGTTTTTTAAAATTCAAAGCTTAGTTACACATCAATATGAATATTCTACCAATACTAAAACACACGATAGTTTTTTAAATTTTCTCAACTAAGAAAATTGATAAGTGGACATCAGAACAGGTGGATTTCAGAACCAGAAAACAAACATGTATCAATACCAATCTAATTTGTTAGTCAGAACTCAGTCAGAAATTTATTAGGTCAATAGAAAACATCAGCTTTCTTCCATTTCATTGATAACATTTATCTGAAATTTTTTCTTGCTGTCACTATAGTAATGAATTACATTTCCAATATTGTATTGTTTCCAGCATCAAGAGTTATTAAAGATACAGAAGAGAGGTGGTGAAAGAGCTTTATGTACTATTTGTCAACATTTTAATTCTGAATTACAGAATAAACTTCCTGATCTATGGAATAGCTGTATTGAAAAACTTTCTCTTGTTACACAACAGTCTAGTAAGTACAACTAAATATAACAGCTATGCCTTTTACTCTTGCTTATCAAGGGTGTTTTGTTTTAGACATACACTTAAGTAATGGCTCTTGCACTGGTGTAAATAGACTGAGTAAAACAGAAATTTGTCAAATACTATTTTGTTGAAACTTGAGACTTATATTTTAGGATCTTTTTATATTTAGTTTGGATAATTCCAACTTTCAAGTTTTTGAGTATGTACAATGTTTTATTTATTTAAGTAACCAATAGTGATGAAGTTACATCTCAAGATCTTGTTAATTCATTACAAGTTTTACAAGTTGTCTCTCCGTCATTACATTCATCCATTTTATCTCAGGTAATCTTTCTTTTCTTCTGAAAATTGTGTGATCTAGTTAATGGCATCTGATAGTTGACTGGAAATAAAAGAAAACAACATTGGTCTTTTCCTCGTTATTCTGAGGACCTACGCATTTACAGCTGATTTGTCTGGAATAATCATTTTGTGAATGAGTTTAACTTTTCAACTATCATATTTTCGTGAATATTATCATCATGCCAAAGACTTCTAGACTCCAACATGAACCGTCTCAATTCCTCAATTCATTGTGAAGCATTTTTTTTTTTTCAGGTGACAGATAAGCTTCCTCAACTTTGTTTATGTTTACAACACCGCTATGCAGCTGTAAGACATATGGCAGCCAGATGTATTGGTGTCCTATGTCAACTACAATTACATTCTACTATGCAATTTGTGATAGAAAATATTATACCTATGTTAAGTAATACAGACAATGATATACAACGACAAGGTTCAATAGAAGCAATGGCCAGTATCCTTTTGATTTAATATTATTACTTAAACGAAACTTAATCAAGTGATGTGTGTTTTATACAAAAATAACACGAATACATAGCTGTAACAGATATTGAGATCTTAACATAGAAAATGTGGATAAAAGTTAAAATTGTATTTACCTGAGAATAAGTATATGATAAATCAGTGTTAATAGGATTTAAACGAGGTTTTGAAGCCTCTTTACGTGTATCAGAGACACTTATGGCTGATTTCCAGTTTGACATCCATTAGAAAATATTCCAGTAATACTGTTTGTGGTATCTAAATTTGACCATTTAGTTGAGCTGCTGATTATATTGATGATCTAAAGCGAGATTGAAATATGATAATAATTCTTGTATTCATAAGATAACTATAAAGTTCTTTAACCAGTGTTAAGATATAATAGAGATATTGGGAATGAATATATTGCCCTATATTGTATTATTAGTAGTACCAGTACTAGGTTGTATGTGTGATCAGAATGAACCAGTTAGACTAATGGCTACTCATTGTTTTGCTCAAATGATCAGATTACTACCATTAGAGGTAATGTATGATTTATACAGTTTTTTCATGTAGGATTACACCATATTTTAAAAATTTTAGCAGTAAATTGACTATGATTTCCTGTGTAGAAGAGACATATTAGTACAAAAGAATACGTATCACCAATATTGTGACTTTGCCGTGATTGAGTACCTTTGACCATCACTGTCAATTTTGATTCAGAATCCTCTATTTTAAATTTTTTGTTGCTGCATAATATCCCATTTAGGGTAAGATAATGAGCATTATACACTCAAATGTACAGTGGTCAGCAATGAAGTTGTTGATATTATTATATGTATCACATGATACACAGACTCTTACTATTGCACCAGTTTATCAGTATTTTTCCTACCATTCAACTCAAGCCAACTGTATAATGTACACAATAATTTTTGTTGTGATTATTAGGCTGGTATACCAGATCCACCGGAAATGAAAGGAGATCTAGCTAATAGAAGAGATAAAGAAAGAAAGTTTTTAGAACAGTTATTAGATGGTAGTAAATCAGAGGATTATGATATAACAGTTGATATTAAGGCAGAACTCAGAAAATATCAACAGGTAAAATATCTTAACTCAAACTTTATATGGGTTGAAAATTGAACATTGTGCTGCTCGATTGGGGGGTTCTGAAAGTAGGGGATTCACATTGTCAACCAGACTTTCAATAAAATAAGTTGGAATAGAGTTCAGAACACACTTTACATTTGTGGAAAAAATAGTAGGTGCAGACAAAATTCAAAATGGTGGAGAAGGAAACTGATGGGAAAAATTTGAATATGACATATTCCGCTTCTGTACCATTCGATTGAGGTAATCGATGAAACTTGTTTTGAACTCTCAAATCGAGCACCATTAACATGTTCAACCCATGCAAATGTTACAGCTTTTGTCATGTATTTTTAATTGCTGTGGTCTGTAGCTAAATAAGTTAATTTCTGATGTTTAAATGGATTGTGTACTCATTATGTGTAGTGTTAACTGTCAAATAACTTTCTTCTGCAACGATCCTCTTTGCAAATGTACATTTAGCATTTTTATTGCATTTTAGAGCAAAAGAAATTGATTTTATAGATGATAGAACTTCAGCATTTGTTTTTGTGCTTCATTAATCAAAATTATTGTGTATGAATTGAAAATGATTTGATTTGAACTGATGTTATTTTGGTTATATTTTGTAGGATGGTGTCAACTGGCTGGGATTTTTAAATAAATATAAACTACATGGTATATTATGTGATGATATGGGTTTAGGTAAAACATTACAATCTATATGTATACTAGCTACTGATCATTATGAACGACAGAAACAATACCAGGTAAGTTATTGGACTCTTTTATCTTTTTGTTGCATACAGTTTTTATGTCCTTATTCAAATAGAATGAATTGAAACTTATATGAGTCTTTTCTTTTTTAACTGCTGTGAAAAATTATTTTCAAATATCCTGGATTTACTAGAAGTACAATTAAGGGGAATAGTTGAATGGTCATCTGGTGTCGATGGTTCGAATTCCTGTCAAAGTAAGAAAAATTCTAATGTCAATGCTTTCAAGAGTCATCTTGGTATTACCTCTCAAGCCTTATCACCATTTTTATTTTCTTACCCAATATATTTAAACATGTTGATTGTAGAAAGAAAATACTCCAGATTGTTGTCCTTTACCATCATTAGTTGTTTGTCCACCAACACTAGTAGGACATTGGGTATATGAAATTAATAAATTTGTTGATAATGACTTATTGAATCCATTAATGTATGCTGGACCTCCTTCAGAAAGAATTAGGTTGGTATATTTTCATTTATTCATCACTTCTAAAATCACATATCAAATCCTTTACTGTATTCTTATTCAGCTGCAGCCTCATATTCAAAATGTCAAGCTATTACTTCGTACTTATACCTTGACTGCAAAAGTCACCTTTCTTGTATCATGGAATGCAATGATTTAATTGGATGGTATATCAGTGAATACAGCCAATCAGAGCTCTCGACAGAAAGGAGGTAAACATGGCTTTGTGTTTACATCCTTTCTGTTGAGGCCTCTGATTGGCTATATTCACTAACTTACAATCAGATCAAATCGCTGCATTCCATTATTGCAGTCAAGGTATCAGATGAAGTTTGTAATAGCTTCATATTGTGATGATGCTGCAGCCTATACAGTGACTGCTACTAGACATGATTACATAATTTCTGAGCATATTTCACAATATTTCACCTGATTTATAAATTGAGAGAAAAATTGTCTTTGTTAAGCATCATAAAAGTTTTGTTACAGGTTACAGAAGAAAGTTAAGAAACATAACTTGATAGTAGCATCTTATGATGTAGTAAGAAATGATATAGAATTCTTTACAACATTTCGCTGGAACTACTGTATATTGGATGAAGGTCACATTATCAGGAATGGTAAAACAAAGGTACTGATATATTTCATATTCTTTCTGTGGATCTGTGGATTTTTCATCTGTATCCTCATTTCAGTTGTATAATCAGTAGAATGAAGTGAAAAGTGTTATTCAAACAACATTAACTAAGGCCCCATTGTGTTACAATAAGAATATGTTGGAGTTGCTGTCTTTGCAGGCTTGTGTCTGTCTTCTTTTCCAAATCAGGAGTAAAGAACAAGTGCAGGAAAAACACTTAATTTCATTTGAAGTTTTTTTTTTTTTGCGTTAGCATTCATAACCATTGAACCATTGAAAAATTTGATGCATGTTGTGGTCCTTACGAGATGTTTTCTGTTTTTCTTTGATGAAAGATTAGGATTATCTGTTATATGATCATTAACTATATCATTAATAACATAATATATATAATATTGATATATTTCAGCTGTCTAAAGCAGTAAAACAGTTGCTCTGTAATCATAGATTAATATTATCTGGTACACCTATACAAAACAATGTGCTAGATCTCTGGTCCTTGTTTGATTTTTTAATGCCAGGATTTCTGGGCACAGAAAAACAATTCCAAGCCAGATATGGTAAACCTATCTTACAGAGTAGAGATGGTAAAAGTACAACCAAGGAACAAGAGGCTGGTAAGATCACCTGATTTCAATTATTGAAAGCAAACTGAAAATCTTCAACTTTTTTATCCTTGAAGCACTGACTCTATGAAATCATGCAGGCGGGCTGTGGAATCTCATTTTATAATTATATATCTCATTATATATAATGTTTTGAAACTTGGTCAATAACTGTTTCACAAACTTATTGTAAATTGCTCAAATATGACACATATCATGTTCATAATGATGTCAATATAGATATGGTAAAGAAAAGATTTGATGATGATAACTCACATTAGTTGTTTGAGAATACTCTGAATGGTAGATTGTAGATTTGTTTTGGCTCAAGTCACTCTTGAAAACCATATAATATAATATTTGAATGAATCATTTAGTATTTTGAGCGAATGTATGTTATTTTCAATCTTACTAAAAAGACTTTGACTTTTTATTAGTTTTGCTAAGTGGTTAGTGGTTATTGGTTCTTTTGTCTTATTTTATAGGAGCATTAGCAATGGAAGCTTTACACAGACAAGTTTTACCTTTTATATTACGAAGATTAAAGGAAGATGTCCTACAAGACTTGCCACCAAAAATTATACAAGATTATTATTGTGATTTAAGTCCTTTACAGGTAAAAAGTTTGACAATGATGTGCATACAGTAGAGGGTATAACTATTAAGTTAAGAGGGACAACATTATATACATGGTAGAAGCAATGTAGAAATTTGCATGTCAGCCACTCCAACTGGCTGATAGAACCTTATATGAAAGTCTAAAAGTACTATCTCAACCTTTGTAGATATCTAAATTTTGACTTTCTGGGTGAAGAGTAACAGATGCCTAATTGAGCTTCTGTATATAATTTAAAAAAATAGTGTAATAATATGATTTTAATGTATTTAAGGTTGAGCTATATGAAGATTTTGCCAAGTCTCAAGTAAAGAATGATATAGAAGATGATGTGGTATCAGAAGATAGTAGTGGGAAGAAATCTCAAGGTTCTACTCATGTATTCCAGGTCAGTTTAACCTACCGTAGTAGTTGTTTTGACTTTGAGGGCCGGGAAAAGTCTTTACTTCAGTCAATCAATAGGAAGATTGTCTTTTTGACATTCTTAATGATGCATGTGCATTTGATAATAAAAATTGATATATGTAATTCTTACTTCGTTTTGTACCATTATTAATTGTAGGCGTTACAATATCTACGTAAAGTGTGTAACCATCCATCATTAGTATTAACAACTAGTCATCCTAAATATGATATGATAATGTCTAGATTAAAACATGATAAATCATCAATACATGATATACAACATGCTCCTAAATTAACAGCTTTAAAGTAAGTTTTCATCTCTTTCTTTAGTCATTGTTCATACTTTGGCTTTGGCATACAGAAGTTCCCTTGTGAGTTAGCAATCTACTCTGGCTTTCCCACAATTCATCATTATTATCAAGATACAGGTCTTACTTGACACACTTTGATTGGTTTATAATGTCATTGGGTCAGGATTGCAGTCCATACTTGGATTACAGACATGAAGGTCATGAAAAAAAGAAATTATTATTAATTTTAATTAAATTGAACTTCCAAATAAACGGCAGAACAAGTTTACCTAAAAATCCAATTTGTTTAAGCTTAGTACACACTGTATCAAAATAATATGCTCATTAATTTCAGACAACTATTAAATGATTGTGGTATTGGTGTGGGTAGTAGTAATACTAGTGGTACTAGTAATATATTAGGTACTGATGTACCAGTAGTTAACCAACATAGAGTACTGTTATTTTGTCAGTTAAAAAGTATGTTAAATATTGTGGAACAAGATCTTATCAAGTAAGTGAGTTTTGTCATTTTGTGGAATAAATAAGAAACGTTGCCCTGAACTTAACTATAAAAATATATGACAGTTTTGTAGTCTGAAACATTATTTCTAGGGTTTAGTTTAGGTATATTTGTCAACTAGTTCATTTTGGGAGGTTGCTGTTAATGCATGATTATAATTAATACTTGCAGTTACATGTAACAGTTTTGGGAAACAATTTAGATATGTCAATTATTTTCTTATTATAGAAGAGAAATGCCATCAGTGACATATTTAAGATTAGATGGAGGTGTACCTGCTACATCCAGACACGATATTGTTCAAAGGTTAGTTCTTATCTTATCTCCTCCTCATTAGAATTGTTGTTTTCTGTGTTGATTATTACTCATTTCTGTTGCTTTTAGGAATTCCAGCTTACAAAGATATTTGATTAGGTAACTCCATATTTGCTTTGACTAGAAAATGGATATTTACTTGAATTATCTATTAAAATGTTATTGACACATGATGGTGGAGTAGGTTTACGTAACGGGTATATGATATTCTAGGCTTAATAATGATCCATCTATTGATATGTTATTATTAAATACACAAGTTGGTGAATTAGGTTTAATATTAACGGGTATATTATATTCTAAGTTTAATAATGATCCATCTATTGATATGTTATTATTAACAACGCATGTTGGTGAATTAGGTTTAATATTAACTGGTATATTATATTCTAGGTTTAATAATGATCCATCTATTGATATGTTATTATTAACAACACATGTTGGTGGATTAAGTTTAATATTAACTGGTATATTATATTCTAGGTTTAATAATGATCCATCTATTGATATGTTATTATTAACAACACATGTTGGTGGATTAGGTTTAAATTTAACTGGAGCAGATACTGTTATATTTGTTGAACATGACTGGAATCCTATGAAAGATTTACAGGTAGGTTGCATTTATGATATTTAAGTACTTATATACTTATGTTTAAGAAGTTTGACTTTATAGAAATTATAGAATAGAGATGTGGACTCTTTGACTTCTGCAATTTACTTTCACCCCTTTTAGGCTATGGATAGAGCTCATAGAATTGGACAGAAGAAAGTAGTAAATGTTTATAGATTGGTTACCAGAGGTACATTAGAGGAAAAAATTATGGGGTAAGTTTATTTCAGAAATCCAGCTGTAATCATAGGTATTATTTTGGTAAATGGATTCATTCAAAAGATAATGCTTATTTAATATCAACTTATTTATGTGGGCATTGATGAACAACTAATTTATGTAACATCCTACTTAATAGCTTGGTGAGGATTTAGTACTGTTTTTCTGTATATTGCACAGAAAAGGGTCCATTCTTGCAACCTTATTCATCCTTTTGACACACCAACACAAAGTGTATATTTTCCAGATACAACAGTTTTGAGCCTATCAGTGTTATTTACTCATTAATATTCTAAAATATTTGTCTCTTTTCAGGCTTCAGAAGTTTAAATTAAATATCGCTAATACTGTTATTAGTCAAGATAATTCAAACCTTCAGTCTATGGCTACTGATCAACTGTTACATCTATTTACATTGGATGATATGAAGAAAGGTGAAAGTTCAGTACCATCAACATCCTCTGATAAACCAGTTAAGAAAGAGAGTATGAAAACTATTCTAGAGAGTTTAGAGGGTTTATGGGATGAACCTCAATATGATACAGAATATGATTTAAATAACTTCATGCAATCTCTTAACAAATAAAATTCCTTATTAGTGCTAGAATAAATGAATAAACTATAAGTCTAAGTTTATATATTTCTTTCAATTATGTATTACAGCAAATCAGTCCCATCCTGTATCTCAGACATGATATATTGATAGGATATCAGTATGTAGTTTCGGGTCAGCTATAAAAGTATCTTTTTATCAGAGTTTTCTCCATTTTTATAGTCAAATTTCGCATGATTTTGGTATATATACAAAGTTAAACCATTAATCAAAACACAACCGATTATGGTTTGGACTATATTCTAAATTCATTTTTGTTAAGAACTTCACTTGTCATACCACTGCAAATAAAGTCTTGTGTTTTTTTAAGCTTATAACATTCATAAATCATATAAACTATTTTTTGTTTCTTGAAAAAGAAGACACTGATCAAGTAGAATCATATTTGTAATATTTAATGATGATAAAACAAAGGTACATCTAGAATTGTTTGTCTTCAAAGTACACAATCTAACAAAAAAAAATACTTTCAAATAATGTGAAATATTAGCCAAGTTGTTTCTCATGCACAATAAATTGCCAAGTAATAAATTAATTTGTACATAACATGAAGATATATTAAACTCTTAAAGCAGAATTATTTTACAGTCTTTTGATTGCTATAATATACATATTGAGCAGCTGAATAATAAGAAATCAAAAAGGACTCACAGTACATACAAATTTAAGACAATTTCAGCAATAACATGGTTCCAAAATAATTCAGACAACATACAGATTAAATTTAAATATTTACGTCCAACACAATAGCAAGTTTCTATTATGCCATGCTTTTGGCTTAGATAGAACATAATAATGACCCTGTAAACCAGTTAAAACAAAGCCTGCTTTAAGAAAAATTAAAGTCTTTCAATCATGCTGAAACCATTTAATGATGTTATTTTATTTGAACAACAAGTAAACAATGTATAATAAAGCCTAAAACTAACTAGAGACCTATTGGAAGTGATTCTGAAAAACAAGTGAAAGCATCAAGCTGAATTAAAATAAGAGTTTGTTCATTAAATATTACACACTACTACACAAAGCACTGCTTTTTAAGGCCACATCTTGAAATACATGTATTAGACATTAGTAATAAAGCTATCCTACATGTTCCTGGTATATATATTCAAACTTTCTTTTGTGAAATACTTGTAAGTGTTCTATTTGTTTGAATTACTAAACTTTACTGAATTATTTTATTCTCTGCACTACAAGGCCCTAAGCATTATGTACAAACCACATCAGAAGTTTTGAAATATAAAATTTTACATCTTGCTGGATAGCCATTTTGAATTCGATCTGCAACTACTTTTTTTCAGCAAACGTGGAACATGTTCTGAACTCTGTTCCAACTTGTGATATTGATCATCTAGTTCACGAACATGCAGAACTCACCAATCAAGCGCCCCCTATACATTGTATTACATGTATAGAGAATTGAAATATAAACAATTGTGTGACCCATTGACAATTAGGCTCAAAAATACCAGAACAAGACACAATACAGTTTGTGACAAAAGTTACAATAACATTTACAATATTTAAAGTATTCTGTTGATAAAGATTGATGAAGTTGATATTATACTGAGAATGTAAGCCTTTACATTGAACTGCAATCAAGATCATTTTACATGCACTAAGACTTTCCATGAAAGAGAACAGGTGAATTTTTTGAAGCAAGGCTTACTGATGTTTTCATTTCAGCACTCATGCCCAATTTTTCAGGCTTTTTGTGCATTAGAATGCCATATGAAAACTTGATAAGATCTCTTTTAATAGTAATTCTAATCAAAAAATGTTTATAAATATATATATATATATAAATATGAAAGATTATAAAATTCAGAATGATGGAAATTTTTTAATTGAATATATGTTAATAGTATTCAGAAGTACCAGAACTGGGCAAAGCTGGCCCTTTATGTGATCTTCAATTGATTAAATTTGAAAGAGTAATTGGAACAATATATGCAGTAGATAATTATACCTGTATGTTAATGATAAGGTTTATATATAATATATGTAATGTTAGGTTTGATATTAACTACTGTTATCAGATCTGAAGATTAATATACATTATTTGATCTTAATATACACACACCGCAAGATAGATAGATTAAAATACCTAGACAGATCTGCCTTTAGTTATCTTCATAATATCAAGGTTATGACTGGTTATCTTAGTGGGTATATCTCTGAAATAACATTATATTGTAAATTCATTCAAAGTTTTGATTTAGAAGCAATCAGCAAAGAACACAGTGATTTAACCTTGATATAATGAAGATTACAATATTTATACAATAATAATAATAATAATAATAATATGAGCCGTATAAAATATATAATATACTGTACAATTTATTCTTATCACACACCAACAAACTTCAATTCATGTACTTCACCTTATATTACTGTGCACTTCGGTAGTCAACTTAACACTTTCAATATCAAGGACGCTCATATATTCTAACTATTGACTCTTCTCAGTAGAACTAGTTATCACAATTGTAAGATATTCCAATGAAATCCATATATCATGTAGAGTTAGGTGTGAATTGTCAACTTAATATCATTTATATTTCTATATAACACTTTACACTACATATCAATATTCAGGCTTTAGAAAGAAAACATTCTGTGTTCATCTTGAAAAGTACACAGACAGTTGAAAAACTTATATTTGAAACTGATTTGGATAGAAATCTTTTCTGGGACTGGTTATTGCTTGATTTGGATTTTATTAATGCCTTTCTCTTGATTGAGTTCAATATAAGTATCAAGCTCTAAGAGATACAATTTAAGGCTACTGTGCCTGATTTGGATACAAATAATGCCTGGAAGTGTAAAGTATACTATAGAAATATAAGTTGTTATTACTGTTATCATACCACATGATACTAATTGGTGGCAGGCACAGAAACATTCTCATAAGAAAGGGTTATAACCCCCTTGTTGTTGTTGTTGTTGTAACTGGGGTTGACCATTATTAAATGGTAATAGAGGGGTTGGTAAAGTAGAATTAGTGAATCCAGGAGCTGTATTCTGTAACTGGTTCATAGGAACACGAGCAACTGATGTATCAAATGGATTGTTCATTTGTCCACTACTTGCAAAAGGATTATTTCCTGCAAAATAATATACAATCTAGGTAAGATTATATCTACAAGATTATATTCATATATCAAATAAATACAAGATGATTAAACTTAATTTTCAGATAGTCAAAATTACAACCCAACAATGTGCCATGTATTTCAGTACGGCCTGTCCTTTATAAGTCAGTGCAGCCCATACTTACACAATAATATCTCTTTCAATAATTTGTAAATAAAATTCAATATTATTATGTTCACCAACATGCTCAAGTACATTTTCAGAAAGATACAAACCTTTGGGTGGGTTTTTAGCAACTAACTCATCTAAATTGACTAATGCAGCATTAGCTCCTAAAAAGTCTTGAGGTGTTTTTCTAGCATTAGTCATAGCAGGGTCCACTGTAGTATTCATACCACTTAAATCCCACAAATCTTTACTACTGCCTTCAGTTTGAGCTAAAATATAAATCACTCATGCAAATGCTCTGAATTGTAATAGCATTTAATATATATAATTGAAATTTTAAGGCATTTTAATTACAGTAGAAATTCAGTTCACCATTAATACTTACATAAGAGATTACCATTCGATTTGGCAGGTGAATTTTCATTGCTTCTGGAACTGAGTAAATCAAAAGCATCATCAATATTATTACCATTTGTTCCATTGGTAGCTGGTGCAGCAGGAATTGGAGGACCAAATACATCCATATTACTGTTAGTAGAATTATGAACTGGAGCACCCCATGGATCATGTTGTACACCTTTAAAAAGAAAACGATGCGTTTTCATAATTTGTTAAACTAAATATATTTAGAATCTTTAAAAGACTGAGGGAACCATTGATGGATTTGATTGAAGATGCGATATATTACCTGCAGATGATTGGCTTTGGACAGGAGCTGGACTTGCCACTCCCCAGGGATCACTTGGCTGTGATGCTACTGGTTGTTTCACTCTAGCTGGTGATCCCCATGGATCAACATTCTGATTGGCTGGTTGTGAATTAGGAACACCCCATGGATCAACAGCAGATTGAACTGGAGCACCCCAAGAATCATTAGCACCTCCTGCAGCAGTTCCAACTGGCTGAAAATGGACACAAATTAACATTAAAGAAATTTTGACTCATAACTAATTCAGATATTAGAAAAGAAAATCTTGACCATGCGTCATCTATATAACCATGGTGCATGTGATGTACATGTGTTTGTTTCTCATATAAAATAATACCAAATGTTAAACGCGTGAAGGTAATTAATTATACCATGTAGTGAACATGGATGCTTCAATGACAAACATTGAGAGCTATTGTTTTAAGAGAATATGTCTATTTAACTTTTAGTACAAACAATTCTAACACTGAATACAACAAGAACCACAAAATTAATAGTAACGCACAATTTTATAGTCAGTGAAATTCATTAAATCTAAAATGTATGAATTCTTATTTCAAAAGAGTATCCTTAAGTTAATTTAAAGTGAAACAAAAAAAAATACAAGCAAACTGTAATTTTTGAAATGATCATAATAAAATTCAGATAGCTTTATAAGGTCATGAAAACTGCTATACATTCTGTTAAAGGTATACTACCTCCTAGGATGACGAAAAAAATTGAAATATTTTAACTTGGCCAATATGAGTCTTCATCAGTTGATGTCATAACTATACCACAGAATCCCTTTATAATCCAATAAATCCATAAAACTAAGTCATAATTTATCAAACTCAGTTATTTTGAATCATGCTTAGAAGCTTACTTAGTTTAATGGACACCTATAAAGATTCTATAATTTGGTCATGGCACCAAGACCAACTGATGAGAACATTGGATGACCCAGAAAAACTATAACACTTTTGATTTCAGACTTATTCATTAAGTTTCAAAACTATGGCCAAAATATTTTAGCCTCATCAATATAGATATCTTATATCATTATAGACATATTTACAGAGCCCCTACTTAGGCGCAATTGTAAAAAATATTTATTTATTATTTCGTTTAATATTTCGTTTTAACGAAATAATTAATTTGTTTAATCGAAATAATACATAAATATGTTTACAATTGCGCCTTAGGGGCTCCGTAAATATTTTCACCAACTTTATAGGTTGAATCACTTTGGAATGCCATAAAAAGTGTTACAGTTTTTTTAGATACCGGATATACACCTGTTGATCAAGTTTGAGACTTTTAATTTTACGGTTATTCTAAGAAGTTTTATTCCTTTTAAAAGAATAATAGCTTGATTACATCATACAAGTAGTAAATTGAATGGAATAAGTCTCTGATGCCACAATAACAGCTATAAATAGGCTGGTATAGACGACAGAAGAACATTGGCATATTAATAAGAAATTACTTGCTAGCATCAGACTACATGCCAATTAGCACATTCAATTTAACAGTTTAAAAGCAACACACTTCTAATTAATTCAAAAGAAAATCAATAAAGTTTTAAATTGTTAGCCTTAGAATTTCATACTTTTTCAAAAAGTATATTATTTTATATTCCAATCAGAGAAGAAAGTACACAACATCATAAAAGTGGTTGCCCATAAATATCAGCCTACACAACACAAATTTTGAGCTCCAAGTCAAACAACTTTTGAATACAATAACAAAATATTTTTACTAGTAACATAGTGCTCAATACATCAATTGCAGAGCTATATACAAAGATGCATCTATTCAAAGACAAAGATTGCAAGACTGTTTTCTGTAACACATTCAAATGGACTTCATGGAAAATTAGTAAAAATTTCAACCAAATGAAACTTGACAATGTATGCAAATTTGTACCAGAATTTGTCAAACTGCCTTTTTGCATCTTTGTATGTAAATGTGAGTGACATGGCTGTCATGACGGAGTATGCCCATCTTACATTCTTACAATATGGGAATATCAGAACAAAGCATAACATAATACATTGTTTGTTTGTGTACTTAAGGGCAACATAACGCAAACATCATGGATTATATAAAGGTTCAATTCAAAGCAGTGGGGTGCATAGGTTGTTTTTATACAGACTATGCTCATGCTACTTTCTAAAAATAAACCCTTACTTTCTTTTTTTTTCTCTAAACAGATGAAAAATAAGATAAAAAGAAAAGATTTGAATTAAAATGTAAGAAAATTCAAATAAAGAAATCTAAGAAAGTCCATGATCTTGATCTTATAAGGGTTGTATGAGTTTATGACAGGACATCTGTCCATTGATCCAGAATTTTGAATAATAATTTCTTTTAATCCAAGTTTTTATAAAGCACAAACTCCCCCCCCCTTAAAATCAATCCATCAAATCTAGAGAGAAGAACAACATCTGGTGGGATCAAGGGTACAATATCAAAGGCTCATATAACCCTTAAGAAAATAAAGAGTGAGAAAGTATTGACCAAAAGAAAATTAACTATATAGTGGACTTGATCATAGAAAACAGAACTAATTGGAAACTATGAAACCTAATAATTGTATAAGTGAACTTAAGATTTGTGCTTAGTCTAGGTCTACTCTAAAAAGAAAATGTGAAACATGATAGCTCTCGTGGGCACAGAAAATTAGACTTGAATGTATCAGAACTTCATTGATTTTTGAAGATTATACCTTTAGATATAACACTTTGATGACACTTAAAAGGTTTTCAGATCATATTTTTAAATATGATTTAAATATAATGATGTTAGTTCAATTAGTTTTATAATTAAAATTGTACCAACCTCATCATCATGCTGTTTTTTACTTTCATCAAGAGCTAATTGTAGTTTAATATCATCACTTTTTTGTTTTCTAACTTCTTCATCATGTTCCTCTTTACTCATAGCTAGAGCTAATTGTAGCTGTATTTCCTCCTCTCCTAATGAGGAAGGTCGAGCTAAAGCAGCATCAGTTGACATTCTTCTTCCACTTTCTGATGGCGAGCCTGTAATAAAAATGTAAGTTATTATCCTATGTCAGCAAATGACATACAACTCTGATTTGATACCAGTGTTAAATTGGAAAGTGTAACTTCAAATCATTAATTTCAAAAATTGACAATCAAAAACACAATTAACAAAATATAAACATTGATTGACTACAAGCATTTTTACTTTCACCTGAGAACATATATAAACTATTCTGCAACTATACATTACTGATTCACAAACCATACCACTTTGTTTTTAGACTTACTATCAAAATCCTGACCAATTGATCCCCCACCTCCACCATAGGGATCAGAATATCCACCAGCACCACCAGATAATGTAGGACTTCCTAACTGACTCGTTGTCTGAAATAGTATAATGCAAAAGTTATTCAACGTATAGAAACATGTCTAGGTAAATATAAGTCAGAAGCTTGCTGGCCCTGAGCTAGACTTTCATATATCATATGTATTATGAGATGCTTTTGATGTCAGAAATGATTGGAAAGTTTACTGCAGGACGTGTTACAACGTAGAAATTTTGGATATCTTAAATTTCATTTTTGCCAAATCTGGACAGTTAAACAAAACAAAAAAACCATCCCCTACAGTCCTAATAAAAATGGGAAATATGAGATCAATGTATAGTATATACTATATACTAACCTGTCCACCACTTCCAATACCCATAGCATTTTGTGCGAATCTTTCTTTAGCTTTCAGAGCCTTGGTTCTTTCATTTTTCAGTCTTTCGTCATCAGAAAGGAGAGCTACAAGTTGTTTAGCTTTCTCGCGAACATTCATACCTTGGTCTTTATTATCAACATCAATATACTGAAAGCTTGTCAACGTTTTTATTGCATGGAAATTCTCTTTACATTGTTGAGCCACTTTCTCACTTCCTGTTTTCACAATATAATCTAACAGAACCATTGCTTTATACACATGGCGCCAATTCTTCCCATCATCGTTCAGTCTTTTCCAAATCATTTGCATTATTTCTGTGAATGCCACAACATTATATGTTAAATCAGCCACCTCACCCATCAGAGTACTTGAGGGTCCCCATGGATCATTTGAGGTGGCTTCTCGTACCTTAACTTGAGCATCAGAGTAGTTCTTAACAACATTTTTAAGAGTCCTACGGATAGTTGGCATGTTAGCAATTTTGGCGGTTTACAATTACCACAAAATGGTAACAATTTCTATGTGAACGGATTAAATTTGAGATTTGATTTTTCACAGATAAAACATTTTGCTCATTAAATCTGAAAAAAAAAAATTTTTAAAATCTTATTAATAATAGTTTCTAGATTCACCATGAAAAATTATATTTTAAACTATTTAAAAAGCAAATAAACAATACTTCCAATAAGACTAAATTACCCTGGGTAATCCTCATGAGGATGATCCAAAACAAATATCGCCAGCAAGAAATAAGATTGAGTCTTCAGGTAGGTCAACTTTTATCTCCAGTTTGAAAAATTCTCCTAGGTTAATTTGTCTAAATTCTAAGATATAGATATGATCTAGTAGATGTAAAATCTAAGTTAACTGGTTGAAAATTCAGTGGGTGAGTTGAAGTAGTCAAGTTCAGCAAAATAAAGACAAAATTTTAAGTCTGATTGGAATAAAAACAATGCCAATTTTAAAAGAAATATTAATTGCTCATACAATTAACCCTAAGGTCACGAAGGGTGACATTAGCTCCTGTTGTGTTCATTTGACATTGTGAATGTGAGTCAGAAATATCTCATCCTCAAACCTCAGCAAAATAAAGAATTTTAGACTTGTCAAAAAAAAAATGCCTGTTTCCCCAAAAAGACTAGTGTCAGGGGTAAAAAGGAGCTGTATTCAAATAGACCATTAAAAAAATATACAGAAAATAAACAAACCACCAACAAAACTATTATTACTTGGCAAAAATTCTTCAAAATTTGGAGGATTATAAACAAATTCCTTTCTGAAAGAAATTATCATCGACGAAGAAAAATGGCGATTTATCACTTCCTGTATTGTGGAGGGAGGGTACAGGAAAAGCCATGTAAACAAGTTTAATTTTTGTGTTTTTGTGTATCATTTAAACAGGGGTATATTAATTATATTTTAGATCAAACCAAACTGAAGTAAATTTGAAGACGAAGCTATAGATACATCATATCAATTCTGAAATTCAGGCTCACCATTACAAACAATAACTAACCACGTTGCATTCCTTGGAACAGCCATCATAAATTCTAATTTTAGCTCTAAAGGGAAAATGGATGACATGTACTCTGTGTTAAGTTGTTTTTGAAGTTAATCTGTCTAATTCCGATTGGATTGTGCTAATCGACATTATATAGTTTTCATTTGAAGATTATGGTTTTGTTGTAAGGCTTTCTAGATTTTTAAGTTTTAGCATAAATAGGCATTATAAAGCCTAAAGTTCATTTACTTACTTTCTTTTTGTGGTTACTGGGTAGGCCTACACACCCCTACCCCTTTTCTGGCACATTCTGACCCTGCTGACCAAGACCATGCACATTCAATTTTATAAGCCATTACACTCAGAAATACTTTTTTATGCTTTGTTAACAAGAAGCCACGGTGTTAAAGTTCTCCTCAATTTGAGAAAATAGTGATGAGCATCATGCACCATATGAGGGGTCGTGGGATTGAATCGAATCGTAGTGATTATGAGGGAGCATGGTGGAATCTTGATGATGTTAGGGATTGTGACAAAATGTTTGGCTGTCAAAGATTTTGCCATGATTATGCTGATTTAATGCCAAAACATGGAAATCGCAATAGACCTTAACCGACCTTAACCGAGTGAATATGATGCGCACAAGCCTAGTAGGGGATCTTGATGATCATTGAATTGAATATGATTCTGTCAAGGTTCATTATGTCTCTGTTTCTGACACTCTTCTATGATACATCAAGATACTCTTAATAGCAAGAGTAATAACATTTGACATATTCTTATACTATCAACTCGATAAGTATACATAGTGGTACCGGTATTTACTTTGAAGAGAATGAGAAAAGTTCCCAATCGTGCTGCAGACTACAAGATTTTGCTCAAATCACGAGAGGTTTGGAACAGAACTTGAGAGAACTTGATATAAATTGTAGCAGATCATGAAAAAAAAGATCTCCAAAAAAACATAACAGATCGTAAATGTACTTAATAACTGCTCTCAGCATCAAAATGGTAAAATGTCAAGCTCCTGGAGATTGTACACATCGTGGCCACTTGTAGAGGCAGCAAAAACTCCTGATATGAGTTATGTTAAGACTAAGCGATAAATTAAGGGAATGTGTAAAAGTTCATGTTGATAGAAGGACATGCACTCCATTATTTTTGTCTTCAAAATTTTGATGTATAATAGAATAATAGGCCTGCATATTTTATGTATCTTCAGTATCAGGGATTGCAAGTAGTATTATTAGCCATTCAACACTTAAGATAAAAGACATATTTCCGGTGATTCTTTTTTCTCATAATGCTAAACCTTTTTGAGCAAAGGTTTGCAATTTCATAACAAGTGGATAGTGAGATTATTGAAACTATTTGACTCAATTTATTGAAACACAACATCAAAGAAATAGCTTTGTCTGTTTATTCCAACATATTTGGACATTATCATGTTAAATAATTGATTTTCTTCATTAGCCAAATGATAGGATACAAAATCTCATAAATTTCATTTCATGTTATTTCAATCAAATCTGAATGACCAAAATTTCAGGTTTGTTATCTCAAGGGCTGGATGTCAAATTTCTACTTTCTAAAGATGATTGCAATGGATGACAGGTTTTAAAATGACTTAGGGTAGACTTTTAACACCTTATAATATATTGACTTTAGACAATAATGACCATTGACATACCTTTACTGTTCTTATCTTTAGTATTTCTTTAGTCAAGATTGTAGTTAGTTTGTTTACACTCAACATATATGGAGGGAGACATAAAATGTTATTGAGGTCATTTTGAATTTGTATTTCAGGTATAATTAGAGCTATGATGATGATTTGTTATTATGTTCAGTTATTTTTGTTATTTTATATGATATGTTGTGTGTTTTCATCAGGTAAGTTTATATTAGTTTTATTAAATATTTCCCGATGTTATCAGAAAGCTTTTTGACCTAATTTACTTGTGTATGTTATTAAATTATAGTCAGACTTAGTTTCGATAATGAATTCCTTTATGAAACAGATTTATGGGCTATAAGGTCTTTTCATTTTTGTTAAAATCATATGTAGAGTTTCACAAAAACAAAGGCACAAGTTATGACAGAATTGATATATTGGCAATGTATTAGATCACGATTTCAGAATTACAAGCAAAATAACTGCAATTCAATATTCAGTGATTGTTGGCCTGTAGCTAGAAAAAATTTGCTAGAGAGAACTGACTTATACCTCTCCAAATAGTTCTCAATAACTAAGGATATTGAGTTTGAAATGGAATAAGTCCAATACATACTAGATACAAGATTATTTAATATTAGTTTATATCTATTTCAGATAACTGTAGTGTAAAGTCTAGTGAATGTGGGTATAAAGGAGAATGTAATGGTACTATATGTTTATGTCCATCAGGTTATATTTTACATCAAAATAAACGAGATTGTCAATCAGGTACCAGTACATTCTTATTTAACATTAATGTATATGATTGGTTTTAAACCTATTTGATACCTCGAATCTGTTAAACCCTAGAGTTTTCATCTTAATTTCCAGCTATTACGAACTTCTTACTTATCTTGACTGAAATAGCCACTTTTCTAGTATCACGGAATGCAGTTATTTGATTGAATTCAGGCTGGCAATCAAATTGCCTCATATAGAAACTTCCATGATACAAGAAGGGTGACTATTTGCAGTCAAGGTATAAATATGAAGTTCTTAACAGCTTGACATTGTGAAGATGTATTACATAGGTCATCACCACTACTTTTGTTCTGTTAGTATTACATGACCATGTGAACCATGAACTTATGTTTGAGCTGTAATTGCAGATGAGATTTTATTGGTGTAAAACTCCCACACCTTCTCAGATGTGGAAATGCCTATGAAAAATGAAATAGTTCTTCTGACCCTACTTCAGCCGACAACTGTCCAAATAGCGAACATATCATTGTATATAGTTCAGGTTATATTTAAAGTTATGTACTCAACTATTATACATGAAAGATCTTGTTTACTATTGAATCATTTTAGTTTGGCACAATATCAAGTTATGCATTCCATAGTTGTCAAAATGTCAGAGAAATATCTTGTTGATAATATATTATAATGAAATGTTTTTATTATTGTAGAATTATGTTTATTAAATGATTGTGTAGAATGTCCTAGTGAAGATAAATGTTCTAGGTAAAATAAATATTATGGAGTGATAATGCAGGCTAATTTAGTTCTTACTAATACTAGTGTATTATCATTGATTTGCAACATTCCAATTTTCAGTCAGACATCCTGCAATTCCACTGAAACTTTGCATTTTATGACATCACTAATGCAAAACCTGCTATTGTAATATTACAATGTAATATGTTAATGTAAAAAAATAAAATAAAAATATGATCCAAGAGCTCCTAGATATAGATATCTTTCAATCTATTTTCTTATATTCTTTTTCTTAGATGTGTGAATTTTATATCTCGTGAAAGTGGAAAATGTATAGAACAGTGTAATGGAAAGGCTAAAATATTATTTGAAGGACCATATCAAGGCAATGTTTGTACAGGTATAACAAAACTATTTAATATAATGTTCATACACTAAATTTAAAATTTATCTTATGTGAGAAAATTATCCTTCATAAGCTAAAGAATCAACTGAAACTCAATTTTTTTTTGTTACTCATTCTTGTTTCATTCAATGCCTATTATTATTGGTATATTACAGTTACACCTGATGAATCGACTGATATTGTTATAGCTATTGTTGCTGGTGTTTCTGCTAGTCTCTTATTGTTGATAATTATCTCCCTTGCTGTCTTCTTTTATATGAGAAAAACAAGGTAGGTGTATAGTTTGAGAATTGTAGTTTGTTTTTTTGTAGAATATATTAACATCATGTACTTAAAAGTATATCAACTTATATTCTGTTCACTAATTGGTTACATTAATAGTATATATTGAGTGCAACTAAGGCAAGAGTATTGACTTCAATGTATGAGGAATGAAACAATACTTTAACCCTGTGTCAGTGCCTTTTATTGAACAGTAACTTGTTACTTTCAATCATCCTGATCCTTAACAATTGTGTTGGATTCAAATTCTTGATTAAGGTTAAATATTGTTCAGGGGTTTGAAGGTTAAGAATGAATTGTTTTTATGGGTACAAAAGATTTTCTAGAAATTAAGAAAAACTTTAGGGTGAGCTGAAATCAGTATGGGATAGAGACCTCTCTAAACCTGTATTGTATGGGGGTGAGCTGCTCTCTACAACTATATTGTGTTGGTGGTGAGCTGAAATCAGTATAGGGTAGAAATCTCTCTACACCTGTATTGTATGTTCATTGTGACTGCAGACATCCCAGAGTTCACTTCTTCTTGTTGTCATGTCAGCAACAAAACACAAAAATGGATGCTGAATTTGAAAATTTTTAAAGATTTATTATGTACCATTTCAGGTAAGATTTATTTCATAAATTTTTTTATATGCAATTATTTGACTTTAAGAATGCTTATAGGCATTTATTAGTGTTTATGATATTAGAAAAATGTTGGCATTTAATTTCCTGATGTTATGGGAAATAAAACCCTTTTGTACAGGTGTCAGCTTTATCCCTCAATTATATACTGTACAGTATTTTTCATGCTTTCAGATTCTCATTTGCATTGAAGTCAACATCAAACAAATTTATAAAGATTCTTGGTAGACAAGATATCTTACTGAAGCTCTTAAATGTATTAGGTAAGTTAAGTTTTGTTGAAATTTAATATTTATATAGCAATGAAAATAAAATAATTCTGTCACAAGTTATAGTCATTCAGTCTGTTTACATCTGAGATTGGTGGCAATTTAATTTTCTTTTAATTTAAACATGATGTAAAATAGGGAAGGTAACAATGAATTCTTGTACAGTTAAATTTCGAATTTAAGATGAGGTGAGAATGTATGAGATGATGTGTTGATATATGACATAGACTTATAGCTCAAGAAATGATAATGTAATAATTTGTGTTTGGGAGGAATGATAAACCTGAAGGAATAATAAAATGACAATAATCCTCACAACATGAAAATAAGATGAAATGAAAATGATAGTATAAGCATAAAGTTGAGATATAGTAAGCTTGTAATTTCATGATTAATAGGAAAAAAGTGGAAGGAATAATAATGTTATAATTTTCATAAATGGTAAGATAAAAATTGAAAGGAATGATAATGTTATAATGTTCATAAATGGTAAGATAAAAATTGAAAGGAATGATAATGTTATAATGTTCATAAATGGTAAGATAAAAATTGAAAGGAATGATAATGTTATAATGTTCATAAATGGTAAGATAAAAATTTAAAGGAATGATGATGTTATAATGTTCATATATGATTGGAAAAAAGCTGAAGGAATATATTGTAATATAGTATATGAAGGGAAGACAAAATACTGAAAAAGATAATGTATGAGTTATATGATAGACATTAAGCTGAAGGAATGATAATGTTGCAATGTACATAATAAGAATATAGCTCAAAGAATGATAATTTAATAATTGTATGACAATATAATACAGTTCTTGATATTGTTTATGATTGAAATAAATTTAGTTGAAGGAATGATAGTATTATATAAGTAATAGTTTATGATAGAAATAAGTTAAAAAAAAATGATGATGTTATAATCGTATTATAAAGTAATAGTTTATGATAGAAATAAGTTAAAAAAAAATGATGATGTTATAATCGTATGATAATGTAATAGTATATGATAGAAATAAGTTAAAGGAGTGATAATGTTATAATCGTATGATAAAGTAATAGTTTATGATAGAAATAAGTTAAAGAAATGATAATGTTATAATTGTATGATAAAGTAATAGTTTATGATAGAAAAAGTTAAAGGAATGATAATGTTATAATCGTATGATAAATTGATAGTTTATGATAGAAATAATTTTAAGAAATGATAATGTTATAATCGTATGATAAAGTAATAGTTTATGATAGAAATAAGTTAAAGGAGTGATAATGTTATAATCGTATGATAAATTGATAGTTTATGATAGAAATAAGTTAAAGAAATGATAATGTAATAATCGTATGATAAAGTAATAGTTTATGATAGAAATAAGTTAAAGAAATGATAATGTTATAATCGTATGATAAAGTAATAGTTTATGATAGAAATAAGTTAAAGGAGTGATAATGTTATAATCGTATGATAAAGTAATAGTTTATGATAGAAATAAGTCAAAGGAGTGATAATGTTATAATCATATGATAAAGTAATAGTATATGATAGAAATAAGTTAAAGGAGTGATAATGTTATAATCGTATGATAAAGTAATAGTTTATGATAGAAATAAGTTAAAGAAATGATAATGTTATAATCGTATGATAAAGTAATAGTATATGATAGAAATAAGTTAAAGTAGTGATAATGTTATAATCGTATGATAAAGTAATAGTATATGATAGAAATAAGTTAAAGGAGTGATAATGTTATAATCGTATGATAAAGTAATAGTTTATGATAGAAATAAGTTTTATGATAGAAATAAGTTAAAGGAGTGATAATGTTATAATCGTATTATAAAGTAATAGTTTATGATAGAAATAAGTTAAAGGAATGATAATGTAATAATCGTATTATAAAGTAATAGTTTATGATAGAAATAAGTTAAAGGAGTGATAATGTTATAATCGTATGATAAAGTAATAGTTTATGATAGAAATAAGTTAAAGAAATGATAATGTTATAATCGTATGATAAAGTGATAGTTTATGATAGAAATAAGTTAAAGGAGTGATAATGTTATAATCGTATTATAAAGTAATAGTTTATGATAGAAATAAGTTAAAGGAGTGATAATGTTATAATCGTATGATAAAGTAATAGTTTATGATAGAAATAAGTTAAAGGAGTGATAATGTTATAATCGTATGATAAAGTAATAGTATATGATAGAAATAAGTTAAAGGAGTGATAATGTTATAATTGTATTATGAAGTAATAGTTTATGATAGAAATAAGTTAAGGGAATGATAATGTTATAATCATATGTTAGTATATTTAACTTGACATATATATCAATCTCTTTTATTTGGAATCCTCTGTCTGACAGAAGGCTATGAAGTTGGTGATGCCATTCTTTACTAAACTGGATAGGGTACGACGGCCAGCATGACAGCTGAAGGCAAGCATGTGGTAGGTGAGGGGACCTCTATTACTGCAGGGCGATCTCAAGTAGGTGTGGTCATGATGTCCTACGGTCGTAAATTTGACCTTTGTGAAAAAACAATGATATTTCTGATTCATAACTTCCTTCAGGGTTATCAAATTTACAGATTAGTGCCAGATATTTCTAAATTATTCTCAGTTTTCATGTGTTCATGTTTTTATTCTTTGGTTTGATTTGAAATTGAATGACCTACTCATTGACATAAGTTTTTCTTAAAATTGTGAATGAAGCAATATTGTTAATATCAAAATGATGAAAAATAACAGTAGTAATTTTAGCACATAGTTCATTAAGTAATATTATTCTGGATAAACACTGTGTATGATAATTATAAAATTTATTCTGACGCAACATTTTAAGATTTTTCAATGGTTACAGTTTAAATTATATAAGGAACATTTTCTTACTGAACTTTTAAACTTAAAATTTTTTATGGTGTGCCAAATCTAGGAATCAATTTTTTTTCTGTTAACCTACATCATTCAACCATTAACTTCACAAGACCTTAACACAAACACACATTCTTAGATTTACTACACTATAGAAAATGTCAAAAAACTCAATATTTGGCTTTTTTCGCTTAATGATATTAGGTAGCTTATAGATTTATCATTACTTTCGAAAATTGAATTTTCTACGTTTGGCTTTTATTAAGTCAACCAGTAGGATAAACCTGTAGGGCTGATGATTTGGTTTTATTTGCCAGCCATATCTGATTGTTAATATTTTTTTTTTTAAAAAGCTGTTAAGCCTTTTGAATATGATTATAAATACAAAATTGCTGTATGATGCCAAGGTGACAATCTCAGTCACAGAATGTTATCAAATGTATAAGAAGGATGATCATTCTTTATTTATATAGTCATACACACCCAACTCACAATTTCTGTTAATTGATGTCGCCAGTTAATTTAATATTAATATCTGGTCTCATTATTAATAGATTAGATCCGGAAATCCATTTGACATATTGACTACAAACTCAATGTCTGATGGTCATTCTGTAAAGTGATGCAGGTGTTCTATTGACTCTTTAAAACAGATAACTTGTTATGTAGAGAGCTGTATCCCTTCAATGTCTAACACAGGAAGGTTTTATACATTGTTATTGTATATTTTAGAAGTAAAAAGATATGAATTGTGTTGTTATTATACAAGTGAAATTTCTGCTGTCTATAAAGAAATTTTATCAGGGATCCTAGACTTCCCCTATTTAGAGGAATTCCTCTATTTTGTTATTTGTATTTTAAGGGATGGAAAGCTTTCTATATAGGAAATGACCTCCAAAGCATTGTAAAATGGTAAATCTCCCCAGCACCCCACATGTCCCTCTTGACCATTGCCCCTTGACCATTAGCTGAAATGTTCCATTCTGAAATCATAGATTGATACTTATGTTGGCTAAGACAAAATATCATATCCCCATAGACACTGCAGTAACTAGCACACAGCACTTACAGTTATTGAACACAACATGGCAATCAAGTACAAGCTTTAAGGAGAACATGATCAAGGCAAACTTTGCTTTTTGCACACTTAAAATGAGTAGAGTGAAGTCTGTCTGGGATTGCTTGTGAATTGTTTTACCAATGGAACTGCTCAGCACATTAACACTTTTATGTGGTCAGAATGTTATGTACCTCATAATTAACATATTAAAGTGTATAACAGTACAATACAACTTATTCATTTGATTACACAGTCAATGGCAGTTTCAATATAAAACAATGAAAGTTAATCTTGACCTGTGGTAAATTGGAGTTTGTTTACAGACTCACTCCATTAATTAGAAAGAAATGTTACTTGTTTACAGTTCACATCAAATATGTTGTTAGTTCAGTTTGTTTTAAAGGAACCCTTAGGCAAAAATTTTTCAAATAGAGTTAATTTTATATTGGTATATTGTCTACTTAAAGGGATTGTGAAGAGGTTTTCTAAAAGAATTTAAGTATCAGGGATACTCATAGCTTCAATTTGCACCATTCCAATGTTCAATCAAACGTCTGGTTCCTGCAATTCCACTAAAACTGTGTGTTTGATGATGTCACTAATTGTATTGAGCCTTTTGTGATAAAGCATATTTTGTGATATTACTTGATCAATGGATTTTGTTTAAATAGGCACCTTAAGTCTCTGGAAACGACATTGACCAAAGCAGATATCATTTGAAACCATTTTGGTTTACAATATCCAAGGTCAGAAAAAAAAATGTGATTTTGTTAAATAAAATTTTATTGACAAATTTTTGTCTTTTTTTCTAACAAAGATATTTTCATTAACTTTCATGTTGCTTTTATGATAGGAAACATAGTGCTCCTAAGGCTTTGTTTACTCAGTTGAATGTAGCATTTCTTTATAGGACATGTCTATCTACTGGGCTTGGATGGTAGATGCTCTTTTAGGACAGACTCCAGAGAATGTTCATTAATAGCAATCTGATGTATAATTAACCCAGCTTGTTAGCCACTCTTAATTAGATAAGCACAATTAATTAATGAGCAATGAATAAAATGGGATAATCCCTTGGAAACTAATTAGTTAAGCAGTCTGATATAAACTTATAAATGAGTTTGATATGGAATTCAAGAAATAAAATAACTCACATTTATTGAGGGTTGTCTTTGTCAAACAAACAAACAGTCTAGGCTACTGGTCACATATAGTGTTTGTTTAAAATGTAACAAGGAATTAAGTTTGTCAAGAAGTGAGTGAAAGGTCTAGTGTATTAAGGTGTAGAGTGTAAACGAGTGGTCATCTATAGTGGACTGGTCAGAGATTTCATAATACATGTATAACAAAACTACTATTGTGTTATAAGACTGAGTGATTTGAGTGTTACAACTTGACATTTTGTTTCTTCATCGAGATGGAAAGTCGAACAAGGAAATTAAAATTTTTATTTCTCAATTGTTGGTAAGTTGGGTGTGGACAATATTTCATAGTACTTGTGTGTGGTATATTTATATTTTTAAGACATTCTAAAGTACCATAGAATGCAGACTTTTGATACAAATAATGATATGATGTATTTAAATGATTATAGTAATGTCTTCATTCAGAGTTCATATGGTGTCAAATCAGATTCATCCTATTCGGTGTTCGAAATTTTTTTATTGATTTGTCTTATGGAGGTTTTATTATATATATATATTTTTATTCAGTTGGAGATAGAGTAAAGATCATGACATTTCGCCGAGTCTTGAATATATGTGAATATTCTTCAAAAGTACTAGAAATGCACAAAAATCACATAATTTTTTCAACAATACCTCAAACTCAAATTTATTTCCTATTTCTATAGATGTCTTTACGATATATGGCTTTGTCTCCATAAAAGACGATTCATCTTTTTAACTTCCAAACGGGGATAATTCTGGACACACATAGATTTGAAAGCTCAAATTAAGACGGTGAGCTGTGAAACTATTATTGATTGGTTTAATTAAAAACATTCCCGTTTCAATTGGTAAAACGAATGGCCAACCTGTAAATACCTGCCTTTCACAAGTGACTATTGGTACTGATCATTTATATACTGTCTATTTTTTATTTTTAGGAAAAATGTTAACTTACAAGAAAAAAATTATAAATCAAGACAGATTGAAATGGGCAACCTAAAACAGGTAAATGATATGTTTCAATATTATGTTAGTTGAGTAAGACTTTTCATGAGGAGTTCAGGGTAACAAAAAGTCTAGTATAAAATTCTCAAAAACTGTAATTTCTACTTTATTGTCTTGTTAGTTGATAGGAAAGATATTACTAACATGATTTAGATTACTTTTCTCTCTTTATTTTTTAATTTGACATAGAAATTACTACTCTTTTTCTCTTTAGTACCCTTGTGCTCATTAGTTTTTAATAGAACCTAAGATATGAATATTAATTTTCTGTTGATTATTTGTAGGTGTCAGCATATGATAATAAAGCATTTGGTAAGTTTTTTATATATTTTAGAATAAATCATTTTTCAATCACTTTTTTTTGGTCATCGTATAAAATATCAATTTCAGAAATAGATCACTTAACATATCTATATTTCTATAATAGCATGTCAAAAACTCAGAAAAAAGTTGCAAAGTTAATAATTTTAGTTTTTGAATCATAGAGTTTATAGCTTATAGATTGAAGAATTACCTTGTGTTGTTTTCTTATTGGTATTTCATGTGTGAAAACAATACTAATTAAGAAACTGTAATCAGTTTATGTTATATTTATTTACTAATATGATTAGTATATTGTGTTTTGTAGAGAATGATAACCAAGTGCGTCATAAAGTAAATATTATTGATCCCAATACATACGCTATTAAATTAGAAGAGTTACGTCCCCATATAGAAACATTAATGACAGTATTAGGTGATGTTCGGACAAAATTACGTGCTATGGAAGAAACAGATCCTAGAGTTCCTACCTACAAGTAAGTTTAATTTTGGCAACTCTGAGCTAATTTTACAATGTTTAAAGTAACAAGAACTACCATTTAAAGACCTTTTCCAAAGGTTCTTGTCGTTTTTGAACCATTATGTATGAACATCAACTGAGCTCAGAAATTCAGTATTGAGAATAACTGGTGTATTTGAAAGATTGCTTCGCCTTTCTGATGTTTCTTGGAATGTAATATTTAAAAGATTGGTTTAAAAAAACCTAAAAAAAAAAGTTTTTATAGCAGATTAGAGATGTACGGAGCCCCTAAGGCGCAATTGTAAACATATTAATTTATTATTTCGTTTAAACGAAATAATTATTTCGTTTAAATGAAATATTTAATTCGTTTAAACGAAATAACATCATTTATTTCGTTTAAACGAAATAATTATTTCGTTTTAACGAAATACACTATGTTTATTTCGTTTAAACGAATTAATTTTTTCGTCTATTTCGTTTAAACGAAATAATAAACCCATCTTTTTATTTCGTTTAAACGAAATAATTATTTCGTTTTAACGAAATACACTATGTTTATTTCGTTTAAACGAATTAATTTTTTCGTCTATTTCGTTTAAACGAAATAATAAACCCATCTTTTTATTTCGTTTTAACGAAAAGATGATTAATTCGTTTAAACGAAATAATTAATTCGTTTAATCGAAATAATTATTTCGTTTTAACAAATAATAAATAAATATGTTTACAATTGCGCCTTAGGGGCTCCGTAGAGATGTGTGTTTTCCTATGGTTTCTTTGAAGTTATTCATTGGGTCAAAAAGTGTAAACATCTAGTTCTAACTTATCTATACAGTATTTAAAATTCTGTTTCCATTTAACAATTCTGTTGATTTTGTCTTAATTGTTATTTTTGTTATCTTGTAGAGGTGTGATACATCAGTTATGTAGAGTTTTAGTTTTATTACATAAAAAAGATTCTACTACTAGTATACCATCAGATGCCTTAGGTTTATTTGAATGGGCTCAACAGATGTTAGATGATCATAGAGCTCAAAATGAGGTAAGTAGTTGTAGAAAATGTAATAAACTGTAGGCAAATAGTAAATTCACAAATCAATATTCAATTGCTCAAAAAGGACATGTTCAAGTGAGTTTATAATGAAAGCGCTCTTGGTTTGAATTTTACATTTTCTGTTACCAAGCCTTAGACAGTCTCTTATGTATGTTAAGAAACTGCTCTGTAATGTCTCTGTATGTGATGAAATACAGTGTACTCTGTGATATTCGACATCTAAGTACTCGAACATTCTGCGTAATCCAACATCTTTTTTTGGTCCTGATTGATTTTCTTCTCATGTCAGTTTAAAAAAAACTCTGAGCCATCCGAATTACGACACTAATCAGTCGTCCTGATACTCTGTACAATTCAACATCTAGTCATCTTAATCACTTATCGTCAGTTAGATAATCACTTGTATTATTGATGTATTCAGACGTCAGTTAATAACTATCCATAATTTTGTTTGCTGTGGATGTGATATGGGTGGATTTAGTTAAAATATAATTTTTTCAGCCTGGTGGGCATATTATTACTGCATGTCACTTGTGCTGTTTCATGTTAGCTTTCACGTGCACATTATAACTAGAGAATTTAACTTGACAACATATACATTGTGATAAAGGACATATTTCATTTTACTAGATATAATATTGATTTCTTGAAAGTTTTAGGTCCTAAAGGATTATTCCTAAGGTTTAGGAAAAATCCTGAAATGAAAAGTGTTATGGTTTTTTTCTTGTTTAACTGAAGAAGAAATTCAGCAACATTATCATCTGTTTAACATATCGATCTGATATATTTTAGGATGAGAATTATACTAGTAGTAATAATGAAGCACCTATTAATAGAATCTCCTATATAGATGTTGATTTAGAGAGAACACCAGTATATGCTACACCACATAACCATACAACTTCTACGTCCAATCAGCTAGATACCCTAGATACATCTGGTTATTATAGTAGTGTACCGGTACCGTTAGATATGACCAATAATAACTATGCTACTATCAATAGAAGTACTGCTCATTCCAACAATAACAATAGAAACATTTACTCTAAAACTAATAATGTGAAAAAATTAGTGAACAATGTAAAAGGACGAGGAACTGTACCTCAAATGGGATATTTTTCTAATGGACGATATTATGATCCTAATCCAAATAAAGATGTGTATGCTCCTACAAGTTCTTATAGTGATAGAAGTACTGGTCCATTATCAACTTTTATAGCTGATAGACCCCATTCAACATCCCTATCTTTAAATGCTGATTCTGAAGAAGGGTAAGTAAAAATTTGATCACTGTTGAAATAGAGGTTGCAAAGTTCTTAAACTGGAAATGCATGATTTTATAGATACTGTGTATGATTTGCACAATTTTTAAACCAATTCTGATCAAAGATAAGACAAAATTTCTTACATAGGTAGGGTTTTTGAGTGTGTATTGCAATGTGAATACAAGATATTCTAAAATGAAGATTTCCTTTTAATTTGAGTTACCTCCCTTACACCATTTACCGTTGCTTGATTCCTTGATTCACTCTCAACATAAGAATTTAAACAAAGTTAAATTCTTTCATTGGATTATTGAGACATTTTAACTTTATTACAGGATTGATACAGAAGATGATGGTCAACTGGATGTATTTCCATTTGATCCTAAAGATGCTACAGAGCCAGTTGAAGTCTGAAGATAATGTGATATCAAGTGTCTACTTAAACTTGCTGTATTTTTATGTCTCATGTTAGTATATCTACAGATTATTTTTGTATCATTGTGATAATTACAATCCAATAGATACTTTTTCACAGTAATTTTCTGATATACATGAATAGTCTTATATTCTTCTCATAAACAAAGTAGATTGTTCTTGTTTATGATACACTTAAATAATCATAAACTTCATAATGCATCAGTAAAAATTTAAAGTGGTATTATTAATCCATTAATCTTACCTTTCTTTCATTACAAATCAACACTTACAACATATTTGTTATGTTACTATATCTTGACAAGGGAAGCTAGAATTGGACATTGAAAATGAACATGTTCACTAAGGATGCTAGAAATGAACTTTGAAAAGTCAACATGTTGACAAGGGAAGCTAGAAGTGAACATGTTGCCAAGGGAAGCAAGAACTGAATATTGAAAAGTGAAATCTAGAAGTGAACATTGAAAAATGAACATGTTGACAAGGGAAGCTAGGATTGAACATTAAAAAATGAACATGTTGACTAGGGAAACTAGATTTGAACATTGAATTATCATTTACATAGAATTTGCCTCATCTGCCTCATTGCCTTTCACAATCTGATTTAAAAAGTCTAAATGAAAAATAAACGCATTAATAGACAGTAATTTTAATACTTTCAACAATTTGTGCCTTTTATTTTAGATACATCTTGTGCCTTAGAAGGTATTAATTAGTATATCAATGTTAAAAAAAACATAATCTTTAATATGAGTATTTTATTTCAAGTAGATTTATATATTGTTAAAGTATATTTGCATGCTGGGTGTTGCAGTAAAAATTTACAAATTAAGAGATATATACAGCACTTATTTTAAATTAGGCTTAAGCATTCCTATTAGTTGTTAGTATGGTCCCATTTTTTAGTCCCGGATCCTGTAATTTAGAAGACCTTATTTGAATGTAGATATTACCATTTGGATGAAGCTATTTCTATTATGTAGAAAAGTTTGTATTTCTGTTAGTATCATGAGAATCAGTATCGGTTGTCATAATGACAGTGGTGGCCTCAGTCTCCAGATACTGGGATACTAAAAACAGGACAGATTGACTTGATAGGGGGACAACTTTTGAGGTTGAAGCGCCATGAACTCAAGCATCCCATGAAATGTCTGAGAGGTTCTCCACAATAAATTTGTTTTAAATTGGTGTAATTTTATACATATTTTAGGGCAAAAAACGTATGAAATTAATATTTTTAAATTTCTTAGAAATGAAGTAGAGAAGAAACAGGTGTGCAAATCATTTTTCTATTATTTCATTTTTCACTTGATATATGATGTAAAGTTTGTTGATTTATTCAGAACTCCAAGAAGCCTTACTATAAACCTCTCAACTTGCCTTTATATATAACACTTGCTCAAAGTGCAATTATCTAATAATCTGCTTTGTGCTCAACTGCTCAATATATAGGTTGTGTTCATTTCATATTATCATACTTTCCAATGTCTGAATAATCTTAATGTCTAACATTCCAATCATGTTATCATACATTACAATTTGTTTACCATCATATTATCATACATTACAATTTGTTTACCATCATATTATCATACATTACAAAATGTATACCATCATACCATAATACTTTCCAATGTCTATACCTGTCCATCACATAATCATACTTTCAAATGTCACAACCATCATATTATCATATATTTTAATGTTTATACCTGTTCATCACATAATCTTACGTTCCAATAATTATATTAAGACAACAGACAAACTTGATTACATATGAAACAGATTTGTTGGCAAAAACATAACTTTTAAATGATTAATTCTAATTAATTCTTACACCATAGGGATCACCAGTTGTATATGGTTGCGAATAATGTATGACCGCTATTCTTATTGGCAACCATGCGCAGCTGGTGATTGCTATGACAAAAGGCCCCAATTAAGAAGCTGAAGCACACCTAAATATAAACAAAATCATTATGTTTTTGGAGAGATACTTCTAGAATAATACAATTATTGTCTGAAGTTTTATTGCTTGGTTTTGCTTATTAGAAATGAGATTCAAATCATTAGTTATAAACAGTTATTCTTATTTATTTTTTAACTGAAATTAAATATCAAGCAGAATAGATATAATTCTGTGTAGAAAGGATTTGTGATAATGAGAAATATTATTAATTAATTAGTATTTACTGTTGATTATATCATTATTATTATAGGAAATAAATAACATATCAAATGTAATTTTTAGTTCAATAGCTAAACTTGTGGGTTGTGGAAACAAATTTACAAAAAAAATCTATTCATTTGTAAACATTTTAATATTGTCATTGTTTTTTGATGATGCTTTACTGGACTTTTTTCCAGTTTTGTTAATAAACTTACTATTAAAATAACATCTTTTTATTTTGGAGTTTGATTGGTGAGTTCAGGACGTACAGTGGTCTAAATCGAAAGGTTCGGGACTTTCTCGAAAGGTATACCCATACTGCGACGTCACCTTTCTCTTATCATGCTACACAATGTTCTTGAATCTTGACTCATGAAGAAGCGTCTTGTGCAATAAAATGAATAAACATTTCCCCGAGCTGTTAATTTAGTTAAAAATCTCAGTAGGAAATAGAAACATTAAATATTGATAAGATGTAATTATTGTGTTTAAATTGTTATCTCTATAAATTACAAACTATAATTAACTTAGAACATTGATTAGCCTCCAGATATTTCTATTAACTCCTTGTCAGCCAATGGAAAGAAATTTGAACTTAAAACCATCGATCTGAGAACTGTTTAGAATTCCACATTGATGAAGCAAACAGCTTACTTGTGACAAACTTTTGTTTTTCGAATTTGAATCCTCTTTATCAACTACCAACTTTATCAATTTTGTCTTTAAAAACATGCCATTGATAAATACGTTGACCAATACGCCAACAAATACCTTGAATAATATTATACCTATCTGCACCATATTTACTTTTTGGGATATGGCCTACTAGTGAGGAAAACACCAAACTTGGTGAAATGAGAGTACTTCATAACATAAAGTAGTTTGGAATTTTTTTATTCATTCATTCCTTCATTTCAGTTAAGTCATGGTGCAAAAAATAGAATCTAACGGTTCCAGCCTTGATTGAGAATCACTTGGAAAGACACTGGAAATATCGCGTAAACTTGGGTCCATTGGCAGTTTTCTATAGTAGGCAAACCAGTTATTCGTCAATATAATTCAAACAGAATTTCTTTTAAAATGTTCGTCCAACAATGCACCTTTAAAATATTCTGAAATAGCAATAGTCTTAAACAATTTGTTGATCAATAAGAACGATTAAGGCATGAATATTAAATTTACAGAAAATAAAAGACTATTCAGACGACATCATGAATAAAGTATGAGTTAATCTCCGCTTAGTCTTCCTATAAAAGCACAAGATTCCAACATTCACAGACAGTTACAGAGCTTGGATTAAGAGGTGATGACGTGGTATAGCTGACTTTATAGAACTTTCAATTCAATGTATCTTTAGAAAATCTGTGAATATCGTTCAAAGTGAACTGAAAAATATAAAGTGTGGACTTTATTATCGTAAGTAGTCCACGAAATACAGGGTTTATGCAGCATCTTGTATATTGTTGAAGATTTTAAAATGTTGCCTATTGGAAGCTGTATCGAGGACAATTTTCAAAATACTATGGAGTGCTTGATTAAAGACAAGACAAATTCTTGCTCAGATAAAAGTAAACATCGAAAAACAGTTTACAGACATATACCGCATTATCTGAAACCACCTCATCTTGTGGCCAAACGCAATGCGCGCGAAAGACGAAGAGTACAAGCTGTAAATTCGGCATTTACGAAATTACGAAAACACGTACCGTATGAAGCGCGCCATAAAAGATTATCCAAAGTGAAGACCCTTCAGTTGGCTATTGATTATATTCATGCATTACAAGATATTATTAGGGAACATGATGAAAAGTTGACGTACCAACTTAATAATAATAATAATTACACCAATAATAATAACAACATCTATAGAAATCAACAATCAACCTGGATAACACCATCCCCTCAACAACAGGTAAGACTAGCTTAATTGCTTGGTTTTTAATCTGTGTTCATGTTACTTGTTAACCTTCATTTTAAGAAAATTGAAGATTTCTCGAAATAATTTTAAATCTGTCTAAACTCTCAGCCTGTAGCACCAATACTACCTTTGTATAGGCACGAATTGCATATAAGTTCTGATACCAATATGTAGGCCTAATGACCTTTTCACATTCTCAGGAGCGCGGGCCTCAAATTTCAATGGTGTGTAAGTATGAGAGGGGTACAACCCCATATTGAAAATGCACAGAGACAGCAGAAGATGCGTTAACCTCGTCCTGATTTTACTTTTAGAAAAGTGATGGTTCATTACCATGACAAATTTGGTACTTTCGGTTTTGAATGATCGGGAATTGAACAGCCCTGGTATATTTTGTACGGCGAGATTACAATACAATAAAGTAACATAATTTAATGTTTTTGTTACAGCAGACGCCGGCAAGAAGATCTTGTTCCGGAGGAAATCTTCAGTCCACTGGTGATAGTTTTTATAATACACATTATTTACATTTTGATTCTTACAATACTAGATCCTTTACACATTAACAGAGACAATCTTAAGTAAGTGTTAAGATAAAAGATAATAAGAGAAATACCGAAAATTGTTGGTTAATTTTCATTCTTAAGATCCATTGAAACTGTTTCACCACCGAAGACTGCAGATCGGAAAATGTCTGGGCCCGAGTAGAAACGCCACTGCACTAGCGATATAAACCAGTGGTGTATCAGATAAACTATCCTACTATATTAGGTGATAATTTTATAGTATAATATTACATATACTGTCCATTATCAGTTTATACCTGACATAGATCATTTTTATAACCATCATCCTTGGTGGTCATGTTATCGCAAAAACCCACTCAGTTTCATTTCATCAGTGTACAAAGCATATTGTATGGCAAGGGAGATTTTTAAGAAATTGTGAAGAAACCTTGACGATTCTCTACAATTGTTCCATGCTTTAAAAGCGCCATTGATCCAATAATTTCAATTCCATAATAATTTTTCTCATTGTTACAATAGTGACATCTAAAAATCAATAGTAGAGCGATATAGAAGTATCAAAACAGAATCTGAAACATGTTGTTACTTAGAGTTTCAAGCTGTGCGATCTTCAACTCTGAGTAACAACATGTTACAGGCTCTGTTTTAATATTTCTATATTTCAATTCAATTCATTCGTTGGGAAAGTAGTGGAAGACATAGTCCACTATACTATGTGATGAATTGAATTGTTATGTTATCTGCTTTGGTATATACTAAAACTAAAAATGGAACTATAAAAGACTTATTTTTTAAATACATGTAGCTCAAACAAAATATATTCAGCACCAGATAAAAGAGTTGTGTCCCTTCAATTACAATATCTTGTTAGAACTTTAATGCTTAATCATTGTCTCCAAGCTGTTACAATTGTTGTACATTTTAAGAAACCTTTCAAATATCTTTTCCGCTCTGCAAAACTGTATTATAAAATTCCGATTTAGTTGAGACGATTCAGTTCCTTTAGCCTCAAAGACTTTAAGATTTCGTAATTTCTCACGGTTCAAAAATCAAAATGAAATTAAATTATTTCATTGTAATTAAGAGATTGCAATGGTCAAAAGATACATAACTGAGAAATAAATAAAAGACCATAGATAATAATTAAAGCTAGTTCGAATGAGTATAAGCGACTTCTGTCTGTAAATACCGTTACCGTAAATACTGTAAATGCCTAAAAGTTGTAATGCACCATTCAATTCGCAAATCGTACATACTCTAAATATGGTACGAGGACAAAATTATTTTTGGCATAGAACACTCTATGAAAACTGCTTTGTCTTGAGTATCTATTACTGATTTTTGGGGACAGTAGAGTTATGTATAAGCATATTCGAACCCTGTTTGTTACTACATCAAGCATAGCTACTCCAAGCATCTTAAAATCGGTGACCCACTAGCTATTGCGACTGTCCTTAACGATGATCTTGAAAAAATAATTGTTTGGACAAAGACGTGGCTGGTATTCTTTAACCCGCTGAATACTGAAACACTATAACACTGACTACTAACATAATCTAATATTACTAACACTATCTACTAACGTAATCTAGTATTACTAACACTGATTACTAACATAATTCAGTACTACTAACACTGAAATTAATCAATGTGCCAAAAAAAAAAGTTAATTTCATAAACATTTTGGTGTTACTATCCAAAAAGAAATTTTAGTGGGATAAGAATACAACTGCGATTTTAGCTAAAACTGCATGGAAAGGCTGTAAACTGTCCCAAACTGCAAACCATATTATTATATTCTTCATTTTTCTTGTCTATATTCGATACATATGACGTCATAATGTGATGGGTGCACTGCAAAACTAAAAGACATGTTAGAACAGGGGGTTTCAATCTGAGGATAATTTCGGGTTGGGAGTGAAATCGACTAAAGACCCTGAAAAGTATAATAGAAAGAAAAAGGTTGAAAACCCCTGTGTTAGAAAATCCCCAACTAAATGCATTCATATGTCATGAATACCAGCCACAGACTATTACGATACCACAAAACAAACTGTACGGTCACTCAAATATAGGCGATCGACTGTACCCCTATCCCTTTCATTTTAATGTGAATAAAATATTGTTTACAAAAAAAAAATTAAATCAAAATAAAGTTATGCACATAAGAAATAAATATGTCAACATAAAAGTTTTCTAAAATTTATTGTTGGTAGTAAAATATATCCTTTATTACACGAGAGACGCGTGTTGATGTAAATTTCCACACGAGTAATTCGCGTGGCTTAAATAAGACGATATCAAATTTTTGAACACTGTTATCATAATATCATATATTATATCATATATAATACCCACTAGTCGTCTGACTTACTTATACAAGATATATATATAAATATATAAACTTGGTTGACCCTAATGTCAATATGGTCTTAATCATCAATTAATCGGCAATTTTATTAGACAAATTTATCTTTGCTGCTTGGCAATTATTTGTATTTATTTATTTATATTTATTCATTATGCTTTGTATATATTGCATTTTTAAGCATAGATATTTAATAGCAATCACTCCCAATTAATTATGTTCATATTTTGTTATTGATTTGACAATTTTGTTAATTTGAATGAGTGCTAAACTTAATTAAATTAATTTACTTTGTATACTTTTAATAATTATTCATTACATGTTTATAATGCACTGTATAAGATGAAATAAATTTGATATATGAATATTTAATACACATCAATTTTCCTTTTTAATTTTTTACTATTACTTTTACCATAGTTAGTAATTTATTACTTTCGGGCTGATTATTTTCAATAATATAATTTATATTTTGACTGCATTTTTTAAGATTTGGGTTTTCTGAAGTTTCATTGACTGATTTTTTCCTTTTTTCAAATATATATTGTATGTGTTCTTATCTTACAAAAGTCTTATCTTAAATTATTAAATAAGTACTTTTAATTGATATTTTTTTAAATTACAAACTATTGAATTATTTTAGCCGATCTTGTAATTATTTATCTAGTCCTACTACTAGAATTCAATTTATTTTAATTTTCTTCGACAAAAAGGGCGTAGGATAGCTTAAATGTGTAGGATACGAAAAGTTATAAGATATGCGCGAAGAAAATTCCCACCTGCCAACATTTTTTATGGATATCTATTTACTTTTCAAATGCTTTTATATTGCAGACCAATCAAATAATTTGATAAATATCGTTTTAGATAAAGGGGTTTTAGATATTTAATAAACCAATACGACAAGATGAATGACGTATATTTCTGTAGCTCGTGGCTACACTAGAGTAACAGGTTGTTTTAAAAACATACTTCATTTACATACAGCTGCTCTCAAATCCTGGTTACGCCTTTTCAAAATTCCAACGTCTCTTTTTTTTAAATTTTGTGTATATTCAAGGTTGGTCATGAAGTGAAGTGTTATAAGATATTAATGACACACGGCAGACCCACTCAAACAAATGCACATTTTTTAACTTTTAAGACTTATGCAGACTGATGCATATTTAAGCAGTGTCTGTCTGCATATTACATACGTAGGCTGATAGCATATTGATGAGGAAAAAAACCGCAATCACTTATTGAGATAAGTCGTTTTAAACCAAAGCAACAATGTTCTCTGCACATAGGTTGCAGTTTGTTAATGATATTCATTTGTGAGTACTTACGGTATATCCCCAGTAATTACATAGTTGTTTGCTGTTCACTTTAAAGACATGCAACAATCATTCCTACTATAGAAGATAGTTCCCAGGCAAAATAAAGTACGCACACCTTCCGATTTCGAACAAAAATAGAGTTGTTTAGATTAAGACATCATCGCAATATTTTATCTGATCATTATTTCTAGCTCTGTGGCTTCGTATTCCAAAGAACAAGGGCAATAACTCACAATAAATATGTTCCTATTTTTTACATTGCTGAAACCTATTAATCATCAATAGAGGTACAAATTGATAATTTGCAGTTTGAAGAATAAGGGCAATAACTCAGATTGAGCGGGCCTTATTTGTCATATGCTGTGGATTTAAAAAGTGCATTCTTCAACTGAAAATTCATCAAGATTACGGTTTTAAAATGCTTTAATGTTGGCCGCGTTTTGTAAGAACAAGGGCAATAACACACATCGATTTTATTGAGTTTCGATAGAAACTTTATCCTCAATCCATTGTGACTTAAATTTTATATCTATGATAATGCAGTGTGCTATCGGGGTACATCTTACGCTAAAAACGACAGAAAAAGCGAAAGAAATAAGCAAGTTGTAATCAAATTGCTTTCTAGCCTTTTTACAACCAGAAAAACCATTCATGTTCCACCTGTAAATTATCCAACTTTTTATTAAGAAGATTATGAAAGAGAAGGTAATTGTTTTGCAGCATCATTATGTTAATATTAGGTGTTCTATTTACATTGTGGCATTTTATTGTCAAATGCCGTTTTTATAGTCAAAGACCTCATCTATTTACGCTGTTACAGATTTAAATAAGCAGATTACAGATGAAATAACATTTATAGTGTCAGCAACAGTGTGAAGACCAAATTGACAGTAAATACCATTTGCAACATTTCTCGAACAAAAGAGTAACCAAGCAGAAAACCAGAGGAAGCATACATACGTCACGTGATAGATCGACAGTTTTGGTAAATCTGACAATTGCCTAAGGGCTAGTAATATTGGTACGTACATGCGTCGTGTGCCGTCGAACAATTAAAAGAAGACGACACATTCAAGAATATCCAATGTATTAAACTTGAGGTACAGTTAGTAACACCTTTCTTTATCCTTGGTGGAAGTGTCTTTGTAAGGAATTTAATTAAAGTTTGATATGGCTTTATGAGTTGAAAGGAAAAGAAGATTTAGAAAGAAAACTGATAAAAAAAGGGGGTCGTCAGTCTGAAATGTTGTGTCAAAAAGAAAGCTTTAAGTTTGTATTATATTATATATGGTAAACGCGTGTCAATTAAAGCCGGCTATTATCTAATAAAAGTCGATGGTAGCTGATATTAGTACAAGTCAATGAAAATAAGATTGTATCATACACAAACAGAATTTTCAACAAATATTTAATGTCAGTGATCAAACAGTAACAAGCTTTCTTATCATATTTTATTACTAACTGTTTTTATATCAAATCTTTTATATGGTTACCACCAATTATCTTCAATATTATTTGCTGACACAAAACGATTTGCTTTCAGATATCAGTTAAGAAAGCATCAAAGCGAAATTCTCTGAAGTCAGCCTATTCAAGACCAGGTTACAAACCAATTATCACATTTAATATGTCTTTCTTATTGAATTAAGTACCTTACTGTGCATCTCAAGCGAATAAATATATTTGATGTGATAGAAATTGGTGCGATACTCACAATCATTTGCAAATTATTGCACAATATAACCGATTCCAGCAGATGCTTAATAAAGATTATTATGATCTTATTGTAGCTGCTAGGTGCAAGGAATCTGTTAGAATTGCACTACAAAAATGGTGAACTCTCCGTACCTCCATTGTCTTTGTACACTTTTTCTTGTACGATATTGTGCACATCAATATATAGAGGGCTCTGTAACAGCTTTGGAGGAAATATCCCTCGGTGGCCAATGATCAAGACAACCACCGTAACGACATCTGCTGTATCCGCAATTTTCTTCGTTTTTGTATCTGAAATTTATTCAAGGTACTTCCGACAATTTGTACGATAAGTAAAGTAAATGTTAAAAACAATTTTTGACTCAAACTTGCCTAAGGTGCAAAGATTATCATGTCAGGATATTTTGCTTATTTCGTTAATATCACAATAATTAAAATAATTCGTTAACATTACCATTACTAAAATTTTCGTTATTATTACAATAAATGACATATTTCCTAAACTTTACCAGAACAAAAAATCGTTAATCACCATAATTTCCGTTGATATATTATTTTATATTAATTAGCCAATAGAGAGAAAAATATTTGATACAAGTATGCACAAAGTGCGATAAAGTTAATATATGTTAAGTATATATATTTTGATTTCGTGATATTTCAAGTTTCTACTTTAGTTTCTTACATGGTTAAAATTTTATCAAATTAAAAAAAATCTTTCAGAAAGGCACATAGACAAAGACACCTGGATTATTCATATGATTGTGTGTCATGAAAATTCGATGTAACATTAGAAAATCATCACTATCTGTGATGTTATTCAAGTTTATCGATCATTAGTTTAAATTGTTAAACAGGACATTCCATTGTAGAAACGTTCAACATGAATAGCTAATGTAAACGATATTATAATATCAAATGGACACAAGTCTCGTCTATCTGTGATCTACACTATAAAATCTACCAGTCTTTATTTAAAAGCGTGCGACTTACATGATTTGCATACAGCTGGCTGGGGGTCGCGTGACTCAATAATACCGTTGATCCTTGCAATTTTTCAAGATAACAGCTTATATTTAAAGGAATCCATCCTCCTATTTCTTAGTTTTTATATAAATTATTTGGCTATGTTTATCAAGGAAATAAGGTGGCTCAAGGCCGGCACACACTTTTTCGTGCCAATTTTGTCTTCAGTGTTGACGGTGCTCTTACTTTCTTTTTGGAATGGGAGATCAAGACAGTGAGTTTATGGAAACTCCCATGTTCAAATGAGCACGTGATATGTACCTGGAATTCTATTGGTTGACGTAAGTAACGACAATTTTTTGGGAACGTCCGTACAGTTGCCGATAAGGCACGTCAGAAAGACTTTCGATCAAACATGCCAGATATCCTCCGATCACACCTGATCTTGTCGTAGGGCTGTCGTAGACAAACACACACTGGCCGACTCAAAAAATAGGTAAGTGCGCGCCAGCATTTAGGTGTTCCGAGAGGCATCCTCGCGAATGGTCTACATTATGAGTGTGGATATCATTCCTAAATGCAAATCACTCAGAAGCAAAAATCTGTTGATATACCAAAAATATATTTTAAATTTTAGCTAAGATCTTATTTATAAACCTACATTTTGTTGTACCATGTTTAATTGTTTATGATATAATTTGGTTATACTGCAATATGTATAATTTTTCAGCTCAGATCGACATTATCCGGCTATTTACTAGTGTTCCGCAGATGTTGTCAATTGCTTGCAGCCGTTGATTCTCGGAATTGCCAGTCGCAAAATCGACCCACTGACGAAATCAATAATTGTATATTGATGTTACTGTTAGTCTATTGAAAATCAATGTGGTCTACTATCAGTTATTATTACAAGAACGGATTCCTTTAAACTGTAAGCATGAGTGATTATATATGGCACTTGTACAGATTGGGGTTGATATTATGAAGAAAATATTGCCTTGAAATATTCACTGTAAGTGATTTAGTGGTTAATAGAAAATTAATTACTATTATGTACTATAATATTCATATAAAACTCTTGTTTTAGTCCACACCTGAATCTTTGAAATTTTTATTTATATTTTTTAGCTCTAGTTTCTATTGTACATCTTCAACAAAAAGCCGGATCTATGGCTCCGATGATATGTGATTGATGTTCATTTATACTAAATGCATTTTCATCTTCTTATATTAGAAGGCCGTGTAATATCCTTTAAAAAATCCGAGGACCTCACTAACGACTACAAACTGACAGTGCTGAACACTGTGTTCTGAAAAAAAATTTGGGTAAGTATACGGCACAATTATTACATATCCTTCAAGGAGTGCTAAACTGAAGATTCGTAGTTCAATTGCGGCATAAATCAATGTGTTTTCCACTGTTACAGAAGAGGGTCGGGGAATATCAGATATTTGAATGACTCAGTGTGATTCACGTTACAGATTCCACTACAGTTAGAAATGGAAAAAGTAGGCTAATACCATTTTCTTTTATAAGGGCACACTGCATCGCGTTACACATTACCATTTAGCCAAATAAGAATCAGAAAAGTAACCAATGTTGTTATAACCAAAGATGTGGACGCAATCGATGAAGCATTTGCAACTGAAGATTTCTGCATAAGAGGGGCTTTCGGTTTATTGTAAAAAATTTCTTTTGTCAATTGACCGGAGATAAGAGCTGATTTCGCCCGTCCAGGTAACGGACACTATTGGAAGTAGTGAATATTTTTTAAGGCAACAATTGTACTATTTTTTGATTAAGCCTAACATTACAAAAATATTTTTAGAATTAAAATACGACTTTAATAAAACACAATATAGAATTAAATGATTGTTTCACAAACAAATCAAAATTGACACCGCTGAGCAATATGGACGTGACACCACATACAAAGCAATATTGACACCGGAAACAGGGCCATATAGGCGGCGCATACAAAGGAATGTTGACACCATATACAGATCAATATTGGCAACGCATACAGCGCAATATTGGCACCGCATACAGAGCAATATTGGCACCATATAAGAACAATATTGACACCGTATACAGATCAATATTGGCACCGTATACAGAGTAATATTGATGTGACATCGTATATAGAGCAATATTGCCGTGACAGGGTAATATTGACACCACATACAGAGCAATATTGACACCGCAAACAGAGCAATATTGGCGGCGTATACAAAGCAATGTTGACACCATATACAGATCAATATTGGCAACGCACACAGAAAAATATTGGCACCGCATACAGAGCAATATTGGCACCAAATAAGAACAATATTGGCACCGTATTCAGAGCAATATAGGTGTGACATCGCATACAAAGCCATATTGACACTGCATACAGAGCAATATTGCCGTGACAGCACACACAGGGCAATATTGACACTGCATACAGAGCAATATTGATGTGACATCGTATACACAGCCATATTGACACCGCGTACAGAGCAATATTGGCGTGATTTCGCAAACAGGGCGATATTGACACCAAAAACAGAGCAAAATTGACATAACACCACATACAGAGCAATATTGACACTGCATACAGAGCAACGAGAAATCAAGATATAGTTAAAACTCTCCCACAAATTTCATTGCAATCGTTTGTCCTTTCCGTTTACAAGCATTACGTAAAAAATTGTTTTTGATAGGTCAAATAAATTTAATAGAGCAACCTTTCTATTTTCAAATTCTTCACTTGCCGTTGTTTCATATCTGCCTAGTCAGATCAAAATGACAATATACTGTATGAACATTGATAATACTATTCAATTTTATGTTTAAAGTTGTTAGAACATGTCGAACTTCATCCCAGCTGTCCAAAAATAAAAAAAAGTACAGAACTCTGATAATTTTGTCGTTTAAATTCTAAATTAATGTTATATTCATTTATAGTCAAGTAAAGTGCAATAAAATGAGAATTTAACATTATCGTGAATAAATCTGTTATGTAAACATTGAATATTATAAATTATGTTGACAAGCAATTGAATATTAAGATAAAATCAAACTTGAGACAGATAAAGATCTCTTATACAATTGAAAGGGAGGCACGAGACAATAAAAAATGTTCATTCTAATTTTTCTTAAAATTTAAATACACAAATTTACTTTTAAAAGATTATTGTATTGGCCACGAGCTAGTCGCGTGCCTATTGGACCAATAAGATTAGAGCTATATAAGTATATTTACCGTTGCCCAGGCGACAGTAAAACCTCTCTATAAAGAAGATTGTCAACGTCTTGACCTCAGGCTTTCAACATTTTGATGAAAAGTGAGGTAAATTTACATCACAGAGACCTGTCAAGTACTGACGCTACGACACAAATATAAGATAATTTAACATATTATCATACAGCTGACATGCTGACAATATATGTTTTAATCACGTGAACGAGATGACGCCATGTGCTTAAATAATATGCCTTACCCTTTATAATTCACAAATATGCAAATATGATATGAAATTAAAATATTGTATGCATGTTCCTTTGATGTGAACTATATTTAATGAAAGATTAGGTGCTTAACTAAAACGTGCATTCATACTTGTAAGAATCTCAGTATAAAATGATTCTTAACTCACACGTAATTGGCGTCCATGATTTTTTTTCTCGAGTGTGATACCCTCGGGTAAAGTGTGTTGAATTGACACATTAATTGGTACATGCAAGAATGAAGCGAAGCGTCTCCAATTGTTGCACCGTTAAGAAAACTTCATAGTTTATTCATACTGCATTACTTGTCTTTTCGCAACATCCATTATCCACAGAGCATTGCAAATAGTCTGGAAATAACAGAATTTATAAAGGCTTACACTAGGTTCTCTGTTATTTACAACTAAAAATTTCAACTACATTTTTCAAAGATATAAATCGCACCATTTTGATAGATTCTGTTAAACCCAATGGTTTATATTGGTATTGCTTGCTTTGCTTCTGGTGTGTCTTGATACAAATTTTCATTTAATTGTTTAGTGGGTAAATTGTCCACCTCTTCTTCATATATAGACACAGCTTTATGGAACAACAATCACTGGTTAAAG